GCCTCGAAAAGCCCGGGCCCGAGCGCATTCCCGGGGGGGTGAGTCTCGGGGAGCAGCCGTGGCGGAGTCCTTTGCCAAGGGCGCCCTCGAGGGCGCGAAGTTATTCGCGCTTCGCGCTTCGCGCTTCGGCTCCGATTCCTCCTCATCCTCCCCTTCTTCCCTGGGAGGCGGCGCGAGAGCGCGAAGTGATTCGCACTCCGCGCTCCGCGCAGCGCGAAGCGCGAAGTTGGGAGCCCTTGTCTGCCTCCTCCGAGGCCGTGACGAAGTTCACCGCCCTCGAGAGCGCCACTGGGAGGGCGATCTACCCCTCCGACCGGCACAACATGGCGCCGAACACCCTCCACGGCGCGTTCGCGCTCGCGGACCCCGAAGAAGAACACACACGATTTAGGCCTCCTATAGATGGGGTCCGAGCAGATGGGGTCGGAGGATCGCGCCCGATCGCCGATGCATCGACGATGCGGCACGATGTGGAGCCCGATCTGCTTCACGTCCGCGTCGCCAATGCATCGCCCACGTCGACGATGCGTTGGCGGTGCGGCGCGGTCCTCCGACCCCATCTGCTCGGACCCCATCGAGGCGGCCTCTAGCTCTGGGCCCCCCTGGCGGCGCCTCCGGCGTTCCCCCCTGGCGGCGCCCCCGACGCGCCAGTGAGGGGGCCCTCTTCGCCGACCCGGGGAGTCTGCGCGAGCCTCTTGAAAAAGTTCATGCCCGTGCCGTCTGCTGTGCTGTGGGCCTCCCAAGGGAGGTCCGAGCAGATCCGGGGGAGCGCAGGACGCGAGTGCGCAGGAACCCGGGTGTGCAGGCGCTTGTTGGGCGAGCGCGCCCTGGGTTCTGACGGCCCAGTTTTCGTGTGGTGCTTGCAGTGGGAGCTCGCGTCGAATTTCAGGCTGGATCTCGTCATTTCCACGGTGGCCCCATCAGGTCAACCCGAGCCCCCACTGTATTTGAATCGCGCGTCTCCCCAGGCCTAAGGTGGGCATGTCCCTCTACAGGAGGAATGAGCAAGAATAGTTTTAGAAATGGTCTGGTGATTCTGTTTGGGTATAGTATGACTGTTTTTACTTAGTCTTCCAAAATCCGCTTGAAGGAGGACGCGCCCGACCTAACTGAAGGCCTCTCAAATGAGGTCCGAGCTGATGTGGCCTGTGGATCGCGCCGCATCGCCGATGCACTTAGGATGCAGGTCGATGTGGAGCCAGTTGCACGTTCCCCACGCCCGATTCGTCGATGCACCGCCGACGTCGCCGATGCGGCGCGATGTTCTGGCCCCATTGAGTTACTCGGACACCTTTTGGGAGGCCCCTATCCTCGAGGACCAGGCCAACCGCAAGCTCGTCGCCATCGACCCGACAGAGGCGCTGAGCGTCCCCGGCGTGGTCGGCTTCCTCACCGCCGCGGACGTCCCGCGCGGCGCGCTCCTCGTGTTCGACGAGCCGCTGTTCGTCGCCGCGGGCGAGGTGGTACCGTACGCGGCGGGGCGGGTCGGCTTCGTGGTGGCTGAGACGGAGGCGGTGGCGGTGCGCACAGGGGGGTACTCGCCTTATGTCGGCCGTGTTCCCCTACAGAGGGATGTTCGACGAAAAACAAAAGATACCCCCAAAATGCTTCAAGACGGCAAGAAATACTAAAAGAACAGTCCCCAGACTATTGTTGGACATTTTTTTACAATTCTTGGTGTATATTTTGTGGGGGGACAGGCCCGACTGAATACTCGCCCTGAGATCCAGGCGTCGCACACTTGTTCGCGCCCGGCGTTGTCGCCAGGCTTCGGGCCCCGGGGCCACCTCGGATCGATCCAGCGGGGAAAGATGGTGTCCATCGGCGGCGAGCCCGGGGGGGGGGGGGGGGGGGGAGTGAGAAGGGGCGGGCCCTGTCAGAAGGCTCGAACGCCCCCCCAGCCTTCGGAGGAGTGCCCTACGCCTTCCCCGAAGACAGGAAGAGGTCTCAGCAGGCGCGAGGGTTTCCTCGAGAAGTCCCGCCGGCCGCCTTCTGAGCAGGCCTCCTCCTTCTCGCTCGCCCCCTCGCTCGCCTCCGAGTCTGGGGTGCTGGTCGTGCTGTCTTGCAACGTTGCACTCCTGCTGTAGCAAGACATGGGGGCCTTGGTATACCCTCCCAATTCCGTCTGCAGCGTCGACTGGCGTCTGGGAGTCGATGAGATGGCGTGGATGCAGCGCCGACCCGCGTCGATTGGCGTCGATTTGGCGTCGAGCAGCGTCGATTCGCAGGGGGCGCCCACGAGCTGCCCTTATTGTGTCACCAAGCCAAATTATTATGCGCCGAAGTGAACGCAACGATAACTAATCCAAATAACGCAATCATTTCACCAACCATTCCCAACATTAAATTTGAACATAACGTAGGTAGTTAACCCCAGGAAGCATTTAAGAACCCCCCCGGCGATATCTTAGCACCGCATTTTTATTCGATATTCCGAGGGGCCGAAATAACCGAACGATAGGTTTAGCACCCGGACACAAAACAGGAGGAGGAGGAGGGGGCAGGAGAAAGTTCGTGGGTGGAGGAGAGGAGGAGGAGGAGGATGAGGAGGAGGAGGAGGAGGAGGAGGGCTCCTGGTGCCAGGTAACGCTTCCAGGGTGCGGAAGGGTTATCGATTTGCCGGAAGGGGGGGGGGGGGTTCTTAAATGCTTCCTGGGGTTATCAATGTCCCGAGCATTCCTGCTCGCAGCGTCGGCGGCCGTCTGCAGCCCGAGGCGTCGGGCCAGCCCTCGGGCCGTGCACCGGGAGAGGGCGCGTCGCGTGGCGGGCTCGTGGCCGAGGCCCGCCGTGGCCATGGAGGGCGGGGGGGCGCCCCCGAGGGCGCGGAGAGCCGCCCGCGCGCTTCGCGCCTCGCGCTTGGGCTCCGGGGCCCCCTCCGCTCCTCGGCCTCCCCCCCTCCTGCTCCTCCTCCTCCTCCTCCTCCTCCTCCTCCTCCTCCTCCTCCTCCTCCTCCTCCTCCCTCCTCCCTCCTCCCCCTCCTCCTCCTCCCCTTTCGTGGGGGGGGGGGGGGGGCGGCGCAGGGGGCGCGCAGCCCTCCACGCGGCGCGCCCCCTGCGCTCGGAGCGGCGAGGGCGGGCGCCCCCTGGGAATAAAGAGCCCGCGCGGCTCCCGTCCCGGAGGATCGGGAGGAGGAGGAGGAGGAGGAGGAGGAGGAGGAGGAGGGGGAGGAGGAGGAGGAGGAGGAGGGATGGGGATGGGGGAGGAGGGGAGGAGGAGGAGGAGGCGGAGGGAGAGGAGGAGGAGGAGGAGGAGGAGGAGGAGGAGGAGGAGGAGGAGGGGAGGAGGAGGGAGGAGGAGGAGGAGGAGGAGGAGGAGGAGGAGGAGGAGGAGGAGGAGGAGGGGGAGGGGAGGAGGAGGAGGAGGAGGAGGAGGAGGAGGAGGAGGAGGAGGAGGAGGAGGAGCAGGAGGAGGAGGGAGGGGGTCTGTCTGGGTTCCCGGATCGGCGGCCCCTGGCTGGGAGAGTCGGCGGCGAGGCCGAGGAGGGGCGGGCCCTCCTCGGCATGGCTCGGAGGTGGCCCCCTTTCCCGGGATGCCGGAGGGCTGCCGAGGAGCCCCGCCGCCTTTGGTCGGGGGCGGAAAAGAGGGGGGTGATGACTAGGGGGGGGGGGGGATATCATGGCGGGGGCCATGATATTTCCCCAGATCTCGTGGCGCCTCTTCTTGTTTCATTACGTTCCCGGCCCCCCCGCTGGGCCGCGCACATGCCGCCGGTCATGATTTGCACCCCCCCTCTTGGACACCCCCCTCTTGGCCGCTCCCCTCGAGCCCCGCCGCCTTCGGGGAAGCTCTGCTCCTCCTCGCTGCCCCCTCCTCGCTCGCTCGCCCCCGGCTGCTGAGGCTCAGGGGGGGAGCACGAAGACACACACACAAAGAGACACTAAGACCCGTCGATGTCCAAGCAGATGCGGGAAGGCTGAGGGGAAGATGAGCATCCAGCAAATTTGGAACATGAGGGGAATCCTGGGATCTGTGTCGATTTCTTTGTGTGTGTGTGTCCCTGGGCCCCTTCATTCTACACCTTAGGCGATGTTTAAGAAAACTTAAATTTTCGGCCAGGGTCTCGATTATTCTTAATGTTTCAATGTAAATCCTAAGATTCGAATGGGAATTTTGGGTTTTTTATTCAAGTTCTGAGAATATGAATTTCTTAACCCATGATTTCTTAAGCATTTCGCAGGGTGTAGGCCTGCCAGTTGGGGTCCGAGCAGATGGGGTCGGAGGACCGCACGCGCATCGACGATGCACCGGCGGTGCGGCCCGATGTGGAGCCTGAGTTGTTCTTCGGGCCGGCCTCGCCGATGTATCGCCCACGTCGTCGATGCACCGCCGACGTATCGTCGATGCGGCGCGACCTCCCGACCCCATCTACGGTAGGTTTCCGTCGTGTCGACCAGTGGCGACCCCAGCGCGGGCGTTCAAGGTTGAACGCCGCCGGCGACCCAGAATCGATCGATGTTGAACGATCGGACGTTGCGACAGCGGCCGATCGTTCAAGGTTGAACGATCCCTGCGGTGTCAAAAACCAACGCTGGGGTCGGCACGACACGAACCTGCCGTACACTGCACTGGAAGCCCATGCCAAGACACACCCTGCTGGCCTCCAGTGTGCCATGGGTGTCTCGGGTTTGGATGGTCTTGCCACGGAGAGCGTGACGTCGAACATCGGGCTGTATAGTCTTGCTGTGACAATATGTTGATGGTCTTGCTATGGAAAGCTGTGCGTTGGTCGGCGTCGAGCTCCTGCTCTGCTCGGACCCCAGCTGGGAGGCCTCGCGTCCTCGTGGGGGGCGGCCCCCGACCGCTGCAGAGGCCGCCTCCCTCGCCTCCCTCCCCCCTCTGCGGTGCGCGCGCGGCTGGGCGCTGAGCCGAGCAGGTCCCTCTACAGGAGGAGTGCTCAAAAGTAGTCAAGACAAACTCTGTATGGGGGCGATTCTTCTGGTCTTCTCGACTCGTTTTGAGCATTTTGTCCTGTGGGAGGACGTGCCCGACCTCAGCCGAGCGAGGCGGCGGCGCGCGAGGGCGCGCGGCGGGTGCGGCTGACGTGGGGCGAGCCGCCGGGCTCCCGCATCATCCACGACCTGGAGGCCCTCCTCGTCCTCCTGGGCCTCCTCCCCTCCTCGCTCTCCTCGTCCTCCTCGTCCCCCTCTCCCTCCACGTCCTCCTCGACCTCCTCGTCCTCCTCGACCTCCTCTCCCTCCTCGGCCTCCTCTCCATCCTCGACCTCTTCGTCCTCCTCTCCCTCCACGTCCTCCTCGTCCTCCTCGTTAGCAGGCGATGTTTCTCCCCCGAGCCTTGATCTTCCGACGGCACATGAGGACGCTAAGATTAGGAGGGACACTCTGGGATGCACCCCAAGGGGGCTATCCTCCTCTCCTCCCCTCTCCTCCCCTCCTCCTTCTCTCCTGTTTCCTGTGTTCCCCTCTCCTCTTCTCTCGTGCCGTCTGGCTGCAATCTGCAAAACTGTCGGCACGTTCGTGGGCTCCTGGGAGGCCCAGCGGAGGTACGTCCCACGCGGACCACCTTCTAAAGCTCGCGGTGCCCTGGGGGGCTGCGATCTGCGCAATTGTCGGCACTTTCGTGGGCTCCTGGGAGGCCCACCGGAGGTACGTCCCACGCGGACCACCACTATAGCTCGCGGTGCCCTGGGGGACGGCGACCTGCGAAACTGTCGGCACCTTCGTGGGCTCCTGGGAGGCCCAGCGGAGGTACGTCCCACGCGGACCACCTTCTAAAGCTCGCGGTGCCCTGGGGGGCTGCGATCTGCAAAACTGTCGGCACGTTCGTGGGCTCCTGGGAGGCCCAGCGGAGGTACGTCCCACGCGGACCACCTTCTAAAGCTCGCGGTGCCCTGGGGGGCTGCGATCTGCGCAATTGTCAGCACTTTCGTGGGCTCCTGGGAGGCCCAGCGGAGGTACGTCATACGCGGACCACCTCGGGACCTCGCCGCCCCCTGGGGGGCTAACGATTTGCCGTTCCTCTCCTTGTTGCGCTCTTCTGAAATCACTGTTGGGTGCTCTTCTTGCGCACTGCGGGTCCTTCAGAATGCCAGTCTGCATTGAGTGGTCCTGAGTAGAATCGCCACATGTATAGAAAGGGTTGGGTACGTCACAGGGTAATTTATTTGTGTGTCCCGGGGCCTCCCCCCAAAAGCAAAGAATCCACGACCGGAGGCCTTGGTCGGACGAGAGTCGGGGCGACCAGAAGGCAGAGGAGACATAGGTAGCCATGCCGATACACTGTCCTCGTTTGGCCTCCTGGAAGGCCCTCGTCGTCACCGCTGGGTTCGCCTCGACGTTCTGGTCAGAACGCACCCCAGGAGAGGTCCGGGGAGTAGCGGTATCGGCAACCTTTTGGTCGGACCCAACCACGCGCAAAAGTGCGTCGGGTATAAGGAGGACAGGCCGGCGCCTTCTACGAAACCTTATAAAGGCCGGCGCCTTCTAAGGAGCAGTCTCTTTCTAAGAAGCCTTCCCCACTCCCTCCACCCCCTTGCGCGCGCCGCCGACAGAAGAGGGGCGAGGACCAACAGCCTCTCCTGGCTAGTCACAGAGCAAGTTTCGATGTCGGTGTCGCCGCGGACGCCGTCGGTGTTCACTTGATAAGGACTGCCGCGGCACATGTGCGGACGGCCAGAAGAGAAGGGGCCAGCCTTACTGTCAAGCAGTGGCGAAGCGTCCTGGCTTGCCTATAGGCCTACCGAAGAATGTTCTACGAACTTGTTATGTGCTCTGCAAGACACGTTCCAAGAGCAGTGTTTTTTGTTCGTAGGGCATCTAGGTTCTAAAGACATTCCGTGGCAGGACTCCTCAGGAATGCCGGGACGGCCGGTCCCTGCTCCATAGTGGGCGGCCAGACGGGAAGAGGCCTCCTGAGACCCCCTTGGCATCGCTCGGACGTGTGCATGCTTCCTTCGGCGAGGACCATCGAGGAGCATCCTTGATCACTCGGCGAAGAAACCACGCACGAAACCGACAAAAACACAGGGAAGGGACGTCCGAGCGATGGCCAGCCCAGGCGTCGCCCTCTCCTCGCACCGGGCGCTGGCGCCTCGATGCGAGCCCCGCTGGGGCCACGGCGGGTCGATCCGGCGTGCAGAGTGTGCTGTGGGGCGACGGGGCGTCGGGGCGTCGGCCGTGCTGTGCCGCAGCGTCCGTTTAACCAGCCTCGAGCGCATCCCCATCCCTAAGACATGAAGGGATCGGCTCGGTTCGGTTCGGTCCGGTTCTGCAGCCGGGTCGGTTTTGCTTGGCCGGTTCGGTTTGGCATCGGTCCGGTTTCGGCCGGTTCGGCTTGGGCCTGCCGCCGGTTCGGTTCGGTTCCGGTTTTCGCGCGGTTGGGTCCGACCGGTTCGGTTCGGTTCGAGTGGCCGCTCCGGTTCGGTTCGGCCCGACTGGTCAGGTGCGACGTTGGGCGCCCCGTCTGCGTAAGCGACGACCCAGTTTGAAAAAAAGGAGGGAGGAGGAGGAGGAGGAGGAGGAGGAGGAGGAGGAGGAGGAGGAGGAGGAGGAGGAGGAGGAGGCGGAGGCGGAGGCGGAGGCGGAGGCGGAGGAGGGAGGAGGAGGACGACGAGGAGGAGAAGGAGGAGGAGGAGCAGGAGGAGAAACGTGGAGGCGTGGAGGCGCGAGGCCCTCCAGCGACGCGCCCCGACGGGGGTCGCAGCCCCGAGGGGGGTCGCAGCCCCGAGGGGGGTCGCAGCCCCGAGGGGGGTCGCGCCCGCGAGGGGGGTTGCACCCGCCAGGGGGGTTGCACCCGCCAGGGGGGTTGCACCCGCCAGGGGGGTCGCGCCCGCCAGGGGGGTTGCACCCGCCAGGGGGGTTGCACCCGCCAGGGGGGTTGCGCCCGCCAGGGGGGTTGCGCCCGCCAGGGGGGTTGCACCCGCCAGGGGGGTTGCACCCGCCAGAGGGGGTTGCACCCGCGAGGGGGGTCGCACCCGCCAAGGGGGTCGCGCCCGCCAGGGGGGTTGCACCCGCCAGGGGTTGTTGCACCCGCCCGGGGGGTTGCACCCGCCAGTTGAGGGGTCCGCGCCCTGGCCAAAGGATGGAGGGGTGTGCGCGCCCGCCGAGGGGGGTGTTTTGCGCCCGCCAGTGGGGTTTGGCACCCGCCAGGGGGTTTTGCACCCGCGAGGGGGGTTTGCACACGCCAGGGGGGGTTGCGCCCGCGAGGGGGGTCGCGCCCGCCAGGGGGGTCGCACCCGCCAGGGGGGTCGCAGCCCGCCAGGGGGGTTGCACCCGCCAGGGGGGTCGCGCCCGCCAGGGGGGTCGCAGCCCGCCAGGGGGGTTGCACCCGCCAGGGGGGTCACAGCCCGCCAGGGGGGTTGCGCCCGCCAGGGGGGTTGCACCCGCCAGGGGGGTTGCGCCCGCCAGGGGGGTTGCACCCGCCAGGGGGGTTGCGCCCGCCACGGGGGTTGCACCCGCCAGGGGGTTGCACCCGCCAGGGTGGGTTGCACCCGCCGGGGGGTTGCACCCGCCGGGGGGGTTGCCCCGCCAGGGGGTTTGCACCCGCCAGGGGGTTGCACCCGCCAGTGGTTGCACACGCGAGGGGGGTTGCACCCGCGAGGGGGGTTGCACCCGCCCGGGGGTCGCGCCCGCCAGGGGGGTGCACCCGCGAGGGGTTCGCGCCCGCCAGGGGGTCGCGGCCGCCAGGGGTGGGGTGCACCCGCGAAGGGGGGTTGCACCCGCCAGGGGGGTTGCACCCGCCAGGGGGGTTGCACCCGCCAGGGGGGTTGCACCCGCCAGGGGGGTTGCGCCCGCCAGGGAGGTTGCACCCGGCAGGGGGGTCGCGCCCGCCAGGGGGGTTGCACCCGCCAGGGGGGTTGCACCCGCCAGGGGGGTCGCACCCGCCAGGGGGGTTGCACCCGCCAGGGGGGTTGCACCCGCCAGGGGGCTCGCGCCGCCAGGGGGGTTGCACCCGCCAGGGGGGTTGCGCCCGCCAGGGGGGGTGCGCCCGCCAAGGGGGTTGCACCCGCCAGGGGGGTTGCACCCGCCAGGGGGGTTGCACCCGCCAGGGGGGTTGCACCCGCCAGGGGGGTCGCGCCCGCCAGGGGGGTTGCACCCGCCAGGGGGGTTGCACCCGCCAGGGGGGTTGCACCCGCCAGGGGGGCTTGCACCCGCCAGGGGGGTTGCACCCGCCAGGGGGGTTGCCACCCGCCAGGGGGGGTCGCCAGGGGGGTTGCACCCGCCAGGGGGGTTGCACCCGCCAGGGGGGTTGCACCCGCCAGGGGGGCCAGGGGGGTTGCGCCCGCCAGGGGAGTTGCACCCGCCAGGGGGGTCGCGCCCGCCAGGGGGGTCGCGCCCGCGAGGGGGGTCGCGCCCGCGAGGGGGGCCGCACCCGCCAAGGGGGTTGCACCCGCCAGCACCCGCCAGGGGGGTTGCGCCCGCCAGGGGGGTTGCACCCGCCAGGGGGGTTGCACCCGCCAGGGGAGTTGCGCCCGCCAGGGGGGTTGCACCCGCCAGGGGGGTCGCGCCCGCCAGGGGGGTTGCACCCGCCAGGGGGGTTGCGCCCGCCAGGGGGGTTGCACCCGCCAGGGGGGTTGCACCCGCCAGGGGGGTTGCGCCCGCCAGGGGGGTTGCACCCGCCACGGGGGTCGCGCCCGCCGAAAGGGGTTCGATTCGGTTCCCGTCGGTTCGGTTCAGGGGCCGCCCGGTTCCGGTTCGGTTCCGGTTCTGGTTCGGTTCGGTCCTCGCCGGTTCGGTTCTGAATGAATTCGGTTCGGTCCGGTTCGGTTTTCTACGTCCCTGGTTTTGGACCGGTTCGGTCCGGTTCGGTCACGGTTCCCGGTTCTCGGTTCGGTGCGGTCCCTTCATGCTAAGATGGGCGAGCAAGAAGCGAGGGCAATCGGAGGGACAGGCCCTCAAAAGCCGAGGGAATCCTTGGGATCGGCATCGAGGTGGGGTGATGTCAAACATAGGGATAGGGATGTGTTCCAGGCTGGTGACCGTTCTCAAGGGTTGCTAGTGCATCGGCAGCACGCAGCCCGTGTTTGCCCCGCCGCCGGGCGCTGAGAGACAGGGGCAGCGTCATTCAGGAGGGAAGGGGCTCCAGTCGGGCCTGGCCCTCCACAGGGGGGAACTTCAAGAACAGTCCAAGACAGAGCAGTCTGGGGACGATGTTTCATTACTGTTTGACTATTTGAGATGATTGTTTGAATTATATATATATATATATATATATGTATAAATATATATAATATATATATATATATAAAAAAAAAAAAAAAAAAAATCCCCCTGTAGGGGGACGTGCCCGACCGAAGACTCGGCTCGGAGGAGGGACGCCCCTGCCCCCACAGCCGCCCGTGGGATCTCCGACAGGGGGGGCCCGAGAGCCTGCCCCGCCCAGGGCTTCTGCGGGCTCCGCGCCTCCACGCCCGCCCCGCCGAGGTGTCGGCGGCGAGGCGTCGCCGAGGCGTCCCCGGCTGAGCTGCAGCTACAGCTACAGCTACAGCTACTTCGGGGGCGGAAAAGAGGGGGGTGATGATTAGGGGGGGGGGATATCATGGCGCGGGCCATGATATTTCCCCAGATCTCAGGGCGCCTCTTCCTGTTTCATGACGTCCCAGGCCCCCCCGCTGGGCCGTGCACATGCCGCCGGTCATGATTTGCACCCCCCCCTCTTGGACGCCACCCTCTTTGCCGCTCCCGATACAGCTACTGGCCGGTCGTTGAGAGTAGGCGTTTCTGGACTCCCAGATCCCCATCCGCTTCCAGCGCCATCCTACTTCAGGCATCGGCATGTTTTTTTTGTTGTTGCTGCGTTTTGTTGTACTCTCTGGGGGGACCTGGATCCAGTGCACTATATCCGCCTTCCTACTTCATGTTTCTACCTACTTCTTCCGACCGACGTGTACAGCTTCCCTTGCGTGGGCGCGCCCAAGGGAGGGGAGATCGCGCCGTAGCGCGTCCTCGGCGCACAGGCAGCCACTGCGCTCGCTTCTCACGTTCTCACAAGTCGTCGCACTTTTCCCTGTTTATCTCGACTCTCCCATGTCCTCATGTTCCAAACCTTGGCCTCCACTTCACCGCCCACTTCGCGCATTCCCTCCAGGAAGTCACACTTGCACGTGACGGTGTAGCCTCTCAAATTCCAAAGCAACGTGCGGCACTGCTGGTTTCCACTTGGACCTGTCTTGGGCTCGGTCTTTCCAGCAAGCGTAAGTATTGCCAAGATCATCCTCCCATCGGAACCAGTGTGCGCGACGTGGCCGTCTGGGCCTTTTTGCCGGGAAAGTCTTAGCAGCACGCATCATTCCGCATCTCTACATGTGACAGGCGTCTTGGCACAACCTGTCGTTTTCCATTCTCGCAATATGACCAGCCCAATTCAATTTCGATTGCAAGTAAGCGTGCTCCTACAACTTGATGTTGTATCGCGTTGCCTCCGCTCTTGCGGCTTGGCTTGAACCAACGACCCACGCATCCCACTCCTCGTCAGGACGCCGTCTGACTCTCCGCAACATGTCGTTTTTTCACATATTGCAAGTTCGGTATTTTTCTCTGCGTCGGGAGCCACGACTCGCAGCACCAAAGACCGTTCCGAGAATTTCCGGGACATTCTGGAGTCAAAGAAACGAAGGCATTTCTTGAGTAGCCCTTGCTTGGGGTTGAGCTTTGGCCATAAGTGATGAGACTTAGCCCTCCCTGCTCCCGATCCGAGCTGAGATCTCTTTGTTTGCCTGGTCAGACAGCGTACATTGCGTGCCCAATCTTTTGAATCCAAGAGAGCTGGTTCTCCCCGCAGCGCTTTGCTTCGGGGGGCGCGTCAGGGGACGGGGGGGGTATAGGGAGTCTGCGGCACGCAGCTTGTTTGGGCCCCGTCGCCAGTCGCGTTCCTCGATGCACGGTCGGTCCTGGCGTCGGGGAAGCCAGCTGCGTGCAGTTGGCTTCCTTTTGCGAGTTCCTTCCGCGTCGCCGTCACTGCCTCTTCGTTCTACCAACCTTTGTGGGATGGGATCATCAACAAACATATGCATTCCAAAGATCTGCATACATGCGTACACGCATACACATACATACTCACACACACATACGTATAACCATACCTATCTACAATCATGCACACATGCCTGCATGCATACACACATACATGCATGCATACGTACACACATATTCATCCATACATACACACATACATCCACACATGCACACATACATACATACATACATACACGCACCCACATACAGGCACACTCATACATGAGTACACACATACATACATGCATACACACATGCACACGCATATGCACACGCATATGCACATACGCACATACAGCTGCACTCACATACACACACGCATACATACACACACATACGTACAAACCTACACCCAGGCACACGTACCTACATACAGACATGCGTACGCGCATCCGTACGCAATTACATGCTACCTTTATGCACATCTACATACACTCACACAACAATACAAGCACACACACGTAATTACGTACAGACATACATATGCGTGTGCATGTGTACACCTACATACTTATATGCGTACACGCATACATTCAGGCACACACAACATACATAGTTGCATACATACATACATACATACATACATACATGCATGCGTGCACATATACATTCATTGATGTATCCATACACACATACATACATGCATGCATACATGCATGCATACATACATACCCACATACCTGCATACATACACAACCATGCATCCAACCATTCATACATCATACATGCGTGCGTGCGTGCGTGCGTGCGTGCAAGCATGGGCATGGGCATGCATACACATGCGTACATCCATATATTCAAGTTCTTTGACGGTAAGACCCCACATGCCAATCTGGCAATTTTGCTTGAAGATATCCTCCTTCACCCTCCTGCAACATCCTCCTGCCTCCTCCTCCTCCTCTTGCCTCATTCTCCTGCCTCCGCCTCTTTCTGCCTCCTCCTCCTCCTCCTCCTCCTCCTCCTCCTCCTCCTCCTCCCCCCATGCCTTTTCCTGCCTCCTGCCTTCTGCCTCAGCTCTCCTGCCTGCTGCTGCTGCTGCTGCTCCGCCTCTTCCTCATTCTCCATTCCTTCCATTTCCTACTCGTCCTCGTCGTCATCGTCATCCTCGTCCTTCTCGTCTTCCCCTATCTCCTCATCTTATTCCTCCTCGTCGTCCTCGTCCTCTTACTCTTGCCTCCTCCTTCTCCATCCTCCTCATCTTCTCCCCTCATCCTCCGACCTCCTCCTCGGGCCTCCTGCCTCCTCTTGGGCCCCTCGAGGTGTTCCTGGAGCTTTCTGGGGCGTCTATCTCCTCTTCTTCCTCCTCCTCCTCTTGCCTCCTCCTCCTGCCTCCTCGTCCTCATCATCCTTCTCGTCTTGTTTCTTCCTCTTCCAGCTCCTGCCTCCTCCTGCCTAATCCTGCCTCCTGCCTAGTCCAGCTCCTCTTCCTGCCTGATCCTGCCTCCTCCTCTCCGGGGCCTGAATGGGCCTCTCGTTACCTCCTGGAGCCTCGGGCGGCTCCTGGAGCCTGGCCTCATCGTGCCTTGGCCTCCTCCTTGGACCTCCTGTCTCCTCCTGGGGCCCCCTGCTGCCACCTGGAGCTTCCTCCTGTGACCTACTGGGCTCCTGGAAAGCTCCTCTGCGGCCTCCTGCGGCCTCCTGGGCTTCCTGGTGGCTCCTGCGGCCTCCTGCGGCCTCCGGGGCCTCCTGAAGCTTCCCGTGGCCTCCTGCAGCCTCCCAGGGGTTCCCCGAAAGCTTCCCGAGGGCTCCCGCTCGAGACGTCCGACTCACTCACCGACAAAGGTTCCCGCTCAAGAGGTTCTTCAGATTCAAGCCTGGGGGGGGGGGGCTAAACAGTGACGCAGTTACAACATGTGGATTCCAACATGGAAGTGGGCACCCTATAGGGCGGGCAGATTTAAACCGGATGAGCCCTCCTCCTCGATGTCTCCTGGACCGAGAGGCCGCCATGGAGAGCTCCACCTTCTTCGGGGCCGCCGAGATCGAGGCGCCGAAGAGAAGCAAACACGCACAGATACAAGCTTCCAGAGCTCCGCGCGGATCCTGGATCGTCGTTGGATCCTTTCCTCTGGCGCGCGGGGGGCGCGCCAGCGGCGGCGCCGAGAGCGCCGCCGGTGCTGGCCGGGTCGGATCCGAGAGCTGGGCGCGGAGCTCCGAAGGCTCGCGTGCATGTCGCCTTGCGGCTCCTCCGAGGAGGCGAGGCTGCAGAGCGACAAGCTCGGGGGCCTGCGGAGGAGGTGCATCCCGCTCCACCGGGCGCGGCGCTCCGCGGAGAGGCACGACGAGCCGCGGGGCGCGCAGGCGGGCCTGCAGAAGGTGGAGGGCCACGTCGATCTGGGCGGGACGTCGCACTGGTACTTCGAGCCGCAGACCGCCCTGGTGATCCCGACCGAGGTCGAAGAACACAAGAGCGCATAACCGAAAATTAGCGGCGAGCCCGGGGAAGAAGATGATCGTTTTTTATGCATTGTTTTGCCGATCGGCGCAGGCCCTCGCAACCCCCCTCCACCCCCCCAACGGAGTAGATCTGAGCTTTTGGAGCCTGTTTCGAGCAGGTGGAGCCTTCCCCATAGGACGCACGGTTGCAAACAGTCGCACTAAGCAGAGGTCCGGAGCCAGCCCCCCCACCTCCCCCTCCCTTCCGCCCAATGTCGAAACGCCGAATCAGAGAACGCTCACAGGCCGGAGTGGGCGGTCCGTTTCGTGAGGCTCGGGATCTTGTGGCTTTCTGACACGTTGCCGACGCCCTCCCCGGAAAGAGACAGCTTCTCGGAAGGCCGGAGGGCGCCCGAGAAGCCCCGCGGCCCGGACTCGGGGACTCGTCGCCCTCCTCCACGCGGGGGCTCGGGCCCTCGCCGGGCTCCAGCGGGCAGGCGGCCGAGGAGGAGCCGGGGGCCCCTGGTTTGAAGAGCAGGGGGGAGGAGGGGGAGGAGGAGGAGGAGGGGAGGAGGAGGAGGAGGAGGAGGAGGAGGAGGAGGAGGAGGAGGAGGAGGAGGGGGAGGAGGAGAAGTGCCCTCCTCACTTCCCCCCAGGCGCGCCGCCAATGGAGTTCTCGGAGCTCTGCGCGGAGGTCTTTGGATGGGCGCTGGAGCCCTCGCCTGGCGGCGCCTCCGCGCGGCAGGGGAGGGGGGGGGCCAGCGCCCGACCATAGGGCACCCGCGCAGAGCTCCGAGTGGTGCTGTCTTGGTATCGCTCGGACGTGTGCATTTCCTTCGGCGAGGGCCATCGAGGAGCATCCTAGCTCATTTGGCGAACAAGCCACGCACGAAACCGAACAAAAAACACAGGGAGTGGACGTCCGAGCGATGGCCAGCTGCTGCTTCCGTGTTTTCTGTTTCTTGACTTCTGCGAGGGGTCCATCGAGGTCTGGACGGGCGACCAGAACCCCGTCGCCACGCAGCAGTCCGTGAGCAGCGTGCTCCAGATGCCGGCGCGGGGCCCGGCTGGGCTGCCGCTCTCGTGCCTGCTGCACCTCCGCCCTCTCCGCCGCGGCTCCGTCCTACCTCCGCCTCGGCCCCAGGGCTGGACCGAAACGGTGTTTTTGGAGGTTTCGTGGGCCGTTTTCGTTTCGACTTCGTTTCGCGGTAAAGGCGGATTCGAGACAAAAGCGAGGGAACACGAACACACAACGAAAGCGAACAACACCGTTTAGGTTCAGCCCGCCTCTGCCCGTCCTCGAAGAAGAACAAACTGCATAAACACAAACTTCGCAGTTCCGCGCGGATTTCTTGGACCTGGACCCCCCGGGCGGCGCTTGCGCTGGCGCGCTCAGGCCAGATCCAAAACATCCGCGCGGGCCTCCAAGAGTTCATGTTTATGCAGATGTCTCTTCCTCCATGCCCTTCTCGTTGCAGAGGAGGAAAACTCCTAGGAGGCCCTCGTCGCCATATCTGGATGTGCATTGGAAGTTTGGTCAGAACGCACCCCAGGAGAGGTCCGGGGAGTAGCGGTATTATCGATACCCTCGTTTTTCCCACCATTCTCCAACATCCTTATGTGTTTTCTTCAGACGTTCGTTTTGGGATCCGTCCTAGGGGCTTTGACTCTTTTTCGAATATACATCGATTTGTTCGACTTGAGTTCGGCTATAGTTTGTACCACGTCGAGGACGGTCGGCGCAGCATCCACGCATGAGTGAAGCGAGTGGCTCTAGGAGGGTCACCAGAACCAGCATCTAACTGTGCCGTTCTTCTCCGTTGGCGGCCTCTTCCATGCTTCGACGAAAGGAGGACTGCACGCGCGTAGATCGTGTCGGAGCTCCGCGTAGAGTTTTGGCATCTGCGCTTGGGGTCCTTGGCGGCGCCTCAGGCGCAGCCCCTGGCGCTCTCCGCGCCCCAGGGAGGGAGGCCCATGTCCGATCCGAGAGATTCGCGCAGACCTCCTAATTTCATGTTTGCGGATTTGTGTATGTCTCTCGTGCTCTTCTTGGATCCTGCTTCTGCTGTTTCTTGCTCTCCCTTCCCCACTATGTCCTTCTCGGAGGAGTTCGATGTGTACACCACGTCTGCTGGTCTGCCAGGGAGCACAAGAGATCGATGAATGAGATCATGTCGTTTGGCGTATTTACGGCGATCGCTGGGCGGGTGTTGGGATCGTATCCTCCCCTGCCAAACTATCACCATGCGACTTGCCTCGACCAGTGCATTGTAGGATCATGAGAATCTTGATTTGTGCGACACGTTGGATCTCTGGGCTCCTCCCCTGGCTTCCTACAGGGCCGTTTTTTAATACATGCTCCGCGTGCGGATCATGTATTAAACATTCAGGGGTTCAGTCTTAAAAACAACGATGAGTTTATGTATACATGTATTCATACCTTGATCATGTATTTGGACCCTATATTTTGAACAACCCTATGCATTAAAAACTCCCCTGGCTTCCTAGTTGAGCGATATCAACGTGCGGGTGAAGCGCGTGGGCGGCGGCTTCGGCGGGAAGCTGATGGGGCAGACGCGGCTGGCCGCGGCCTGCGCACTGGCCGCCGTGAAGGCCCCCTTCGCGCGCCTCGGCGGCCTTGGCCGCCGCCCTCGTCGTCGTCGTCGTCCTCGTCGTCGCCCTCGTTGTCGCCCTCGTCGTCGTCGTCGTCGTCGGCGGCGCCCTCGTCGTCGTCGTTCTCGTCCTCGTCGCCCTCGTCGTCGTCCTCGTCGTCGTCGTCCTTGACGTCGTCGTTGTCGTCGTCGTCGTCGTCGGCGGCGCCCTCGTCGTCGTCGTCGTTCTCGTCCTGGTCGCCCTCGTCGTCGTCCTTGACGTCGTCGTTGTCGTCCTCGTCGCCCTCGTCTTCGTCGCCCTCGCCGTCCTAGTCCTCTTCGTCGCCGCCCTCGTCGTCGCCCTCGTCGTCGTCCTCGTCGCCGTCTTCTATCGTCGTTGCCCTCGTCGTCGTCGACGATGACGACGACGTCGTCGCCTCGAAGCCCGTGGCTTTCGGTCGTTCTCGTGGGCCCTCTGCGGGCTGCCGGCCTCGGGGCGCCCTCCGGCGGACGGCGCCTCGTCGGGAGCGGCCCGGGGGGGGGGGGGCCGGAGCGTCCGAGGAGGGCCGCCGGTGGGCACAAGCAGAGGCCCGAAAAAAACCCACCAGGGCTCCTCCTCTTCGTCCTCCTCCTCCTCCTCCTCCTCCTCCTCCTTCCTCCCTTACGCCGCCTAGGCCCAAGCAGTTTGTTTGGGCCGACTCTTGTGCCTGCTCCGAGCGCTTGAGGCACACAGAGCAGCGGTCTGCGGCGGACCCAGTCATCTGTGACAAAAGCAAGAGTGTCAGTCCACGCTCTTATCTCGCCATGTCGGGGTATGTTGAGCGCCACCGGAGGTTGTGGAGTGGATGTCAGTGCGGCAAGTGCGAGTGGAACGATGTGCTCGACCGCACCAACAGCAGGTGCACCAAGTGTCAGCGTGAGGTGCAGCTATTCACTCCCAACAAGAAGAAGCGTGGTTCACGCTCCAGGTCATGTTCGCCAGGCAGAGTTTCGTTTGCAGACGAGGCTGATATCTGGGAGATCGATCCGAGGGAGAAGGAGCAGGTGCCGCCCAAGGCGCCTTGGACCACGGCGACCAGTGTGACGGACCACTTGATGGAGGCCATGCGCAGCACGGACGATCAGGAGCTCAAAGGGTTGTTGAAGAAAAGGATCGGGCTCCTGAAGAAGGGCCCTGCTGTTGAGCCGACCCCGTCGGCTGCCGACTGTTACAAGCGTGCGGAGGGACATTTTCGTGACTGTAACCATAAACATGATCAGTTGATTGCGAATGTCCGCCGCCTTCGAGCTTCACTGGCCACAGCCGAGGTCAAAGAAGCAGCGGCAGCAGAGGCTTTGGCAGCAGCAGCGGTAGCTAAGAAGCGGGCAGCTGAGGTGATCGCTCGAGCGGAGGGCTTGGGGGCACAGCCGCAGCCCCAAGGGCCTCCCGAGTCCAAGCCCTCCGAGGCCTTCTCGGTCTCATGGGGCGCCAGCCTGTTCGACGACTTGGACAGCCTGGAGTGCGAGGAGGCGGAGAGGCAGGAACTCAAGCACATTCGCGCCAGCTTGCAGCAGATGCAGGCAGGCTTCCAGGCGGAGAACGCGGAGGTGCAGGGGTGGCTCGCCAAGGCCGCGAAGTCCAAGGAGGCCATCGCCAAGCGCTTGGCGGCCAAGAGACGTCGCGTCGCAGCAGAGGACGCAGAGGAGCAGGAGGCAGACGCTGGGGCTGCTGGGGCAGGCGCCGCGGGCGTTGCCGAGGGCGGCGGCGCGGCCGCGGCTGCAGGCGGTGGCGGAGCCACCGGTGCCGACGGCAGCGGCGGCGGCGGCGCGCCACCCGCAGCGGCGGCGGAGGCCATTGCGAAGGCCAACGCCGAGGCTGCGGTAGCCGAGAAGGAGGCCCTTCGCGCCGAGGCGGCCAGGATCTCAGCGGCCAAGTTCGCGGCAGCCGAGGCGGCAGCGGCGGCCAAGGCCAAGGGCAAGGGCCAGGAGGGCGCATCGACCGCTTGACGGTCAGCGTCTGCGGCCCCGCAGCCCAGCGGCTACGAAGCGGAGGCGCAGGCGCCAGTTTTGTCGCCAGACTCGAGCTCGTCCGAGTCAGAGTCCGTCTCGAATATCTTTTTTTTCGCGAACGTCACGGCCATGGGTGACCGTGCATGGACGCGCTGCTTAGACCTGTCGGCCAGGTTCGACATCATGGGGTGTGCTGAGACGCACATTGGCGCGAGTCAGATGCGCAGTTGGGAGACCAAGGCCAGAGAGAAGAAGGTCAAACTCATATCCAACGCAGCTCGCCTTTCAGGGCGCGGAGCTCAGCAGCAGGAGGCTCGCGCGAATGTGGGTGGAGGATGGATCCTCGCACGCGGCCGCTTGCACGTCGAGCCGCTGGCGGAGGCCAAGTTGGCGGGGGGGCTCAAGTCCGAGGTGTGCGACGCGCTGGACGGGTTCTCTGCGTCGGTGCTCCACTTCATGCGTTTCTCAATGGTGTTACTCATTGTGCACTGCTTCTCGTCTATTGGCTTTGCTGGCCGAAACATTTCAAGATTGCACAAGATTGGAGGGCCCGTCAATGCTCTCCAGTTGCCGTGGAGATGCTTGGGCGATTGGACTATGGAGCCAGATATTTTCTGGCCACGAGTGGGTTCCTTCGGCAATACTAGATGTGCGAGTTACATGCGACTCGAGCGAGCAGGGCAGCCTCATCGACTACGCGGTAGTCTCCGAGGCGTCGCTTCCCTACCTCGTCAAGCTGGAGCCCGTCCTGGACGCCCCCTGGCGCCCGCGCGTAGGTCTCGCTCTCGCCCTCCGCGCATCTGGCCAGCAACTTCTAACTCGTCATTTGGAGTGCGCCGGCCGTTTCCCCCAAGTTCCCCGCCTCTTGCAGAAAGGGATCCCTGGGTCCAAGGCCTCCGCGGCCAAGAAGCAGAAGGCGACCCAGATCGCCATGGCAGCTGAGAAGCGTTCGGAGAATTATCTGAGTCTTTTTGGCCATGCGTTGAATTCGCACGTTTTTTGGTTATGTTTGCGTCGGCGTTCCCTCCCAGGACGATGGGGCCGACGTCCCTGGCGAGGGGGCCTTCCCCATCGAGTATCACGGGGGGGAGGGGGGTCCGTGGGCCAACGAGCCCAACTTTGGCGGACCCTGCAGGCCCGCTGGAAAAGCATGCCGGCCTGCGATCGTCGTCAATTCAGGGGGAGAAGATCCTCAGCCGTCAGATAGACCGCATTCTGTCGCACCTGTCGGGAGCAGCCCCCGCCCCCCCCCCCCCCCCCCCCCCCCCCCCAAAGCCGCAAGTAGTGAATCGGCGCGCCAGGTTGAGCCTGACCCCATCGGAAGTGCCAGAAGAGAAGGTTGAGCCTAGTTTCTTCATTCCTGGAGATGTGTGGGGGCAACGCAGGCCCCAGCACTGTGGGGGGTCTGCTCCGCCTCCTCACCCCCGCTTCCGTGCCTCCGTAGCCTTTGGGCTCAATCCTGACCATGCCCATTTTGTGAGCTCATGGTTTTCTCAGTGGGTCAAGGCTGTTGAGGGCGTCATTTTTGGTCGCCATCAGGTCGCCCCACCTAGAGGCCCTTGTCGGGGCGATGGGCGTTCATTCGTGGAAGAATCAGTCAAACAGAGCACGAGGCCTCGCGCCGCTCTCTTGAGAGATCAGGTCGCCTGCCGGTGGAAGCGGGCGGCCCCAGTTCTCTCGCAGTTCGAGCGGCATGGCGGCAGAGACAACGGCCACACTCAAGTGGTTCAGCTGCAGCAGGCGGCCAGACATCTTGCCGCCGAGAGACCCGAGGGAGTTGATAAGATTCCCGTGGGTCACAAGAATGCATGGTTGAACGTCTGGACGGGGTTGCTTTTGAACCTGGAGGCAGATCGGCTTTCTAAACGTGCTCTGCGAACGGCGGCCAGAGAGTCGCTGCGCGAATTTCGCACGTGAATTACTTCTCAAGAGGCCTTGGGAACGCTGCGCAGGAGTATCGCGAAGAACCTCTTCCTGCACAGGAGGCCTGGCTTTGGGGGCACAGTCTTGGCGCACCCCAAAGATATTCTTGATCGGAAAGGCAAGCGGTGGAAAGAGCTCTGCACTTCAGCAGGTCGTCGTGGAGGAGCTGAGCCGCGTTTTGCTGAGGCGTCAGAACCGAGCGGCGAGTGCCCCTCGAACCCTGCCGACTCGTCAGTCGCTCACGTTTTGCTGGAGGCCAGTCAGGCCAAGCCATGTTTTACCGAGGTGTCAGAGTCGAGCGGCGGGTGCTCCTCGAGCCTTGCCGTCTCGTCAGTCGCCAACGTTTTGTCGGAGGCCCCACAGGCCACGCCATGTTTTGCTGGGGCGTCAGAGCCGAGCGGCGGGTGTTCCTCGAGCCCATCCGTCTTTCGCGTCGCCAGTGTTCTGTCGGAATAGCGTTGGCCCTTGCAGCAGCGGTCGGAACGCGTCGGCTACCCAGGCGCGCCCCAGGAGGCACGGCTGGCTGAGGCTTTTGCAGCAGTCAACGAGGCAGCGCGAGACGAGCCGCTGGAGCCGATTATTGGGGAGCAAGTCCGCGCTGCTGCCCATCGCATGCGTGGCAAGGCTGGTTCAGGGGCCGATCGACTCACGCCCCTGGACGTCGAACGATTATCGCAGGCGGGCCTCGACGAGCTTGCAGCGATGATGAATATGTTTGAAGTTGCTCTCGCGTGGCCGCACCAGACTCAACTGGCGATAGGAAAGTTGTTACCAAAAAAGTGGATGGAGATCGAGTCATCGGATTGATATCCATGGTTGGGCGCATCTGGTCGGGCATTCGTTAGCGGCAAGTACGTGAGCGGTGCGGTTTAGTTGAGACAGAGTGGGGCGCCGCCATCAAAGGGAACAGTTCGTTGGTTGAGGCTTTTCACTCTACGTTCGCCGATGAAGTAGCAGGTTGGATGAAGCTCCCCCACGGGGCACGCCATGTTAGATAGTAAAGGGTTCTACGACGGCATAGAGTGGGACCTGTTGGTGTTTGCGGCTCTTCGCCTGGGTTTTCTTCCTGTCATTTCATATATGGAATTGGCCCAATGTGTTGCAGCACGTACCGTAGAGCAATTTGGGTCTGCGCGCTCCCGTCTTGGTGGATAGCAGCATCATTCAGGGCCTTCTTTCAGGGGCGCGGTTCGCGAAGTGCGTGACACATTATGTAATGGCACATATATCCCGCGCTTGCGCTGGGGCACCGCATGAGGATCGACGGCTTGTCGCAGCGTGCGTCAGGTTCCAGGGCGTCGGTCGTCGATGGTGTCACGGCATTTTTGGGGGCAACTTGTAATGGGCTTGCTAAATGGCATCTGGATGCATCGCCGAAGTCGATCGTTATCTGTTCTTTTCACGGAGACGCCAAGGATATCGCTCAATGCCTTAAGGTTAAAGGTATCGCTGTCAGGCTGCAGTTACAAGGGGCTTATCTCGGCATCGATCGAGGAGGAGGAAGGAGGACAGCACGTGCCACACGAACGAAGCGGGTTGCTAAACATGGTTGCATGCACGCTCGCGTCGTTCGATTTGCACGGGCTTCCAAGCAGTACACCATCACGTCGAGGCTCGAGCGTGTGGGGGCGCAGGCGGCAGGCAACTACGGGCAGGAGCTGCACGGGACCTTCGGTCGACGTCTTGTATCCTTTCGGGGGTGCCTTGCCGCTGCTATTTCCTCGGGTGGTCGTGGCTATCAAAGCCCATGGTCTCGATCCTGGAGTTAGGTACCCTCAGCAGTCCTTGCAGCTTTGGCACTAACAATGATTTGCTAGGCCCGAGACCAGGAGCTGGGTGCACAAGGCATGGGGCCCGTTTTTCCAGCATTTCAGGGGCCTTCCCCCTTCTCAGCGTTCGAGGTGGGTGAGGGGACCTATGTCGGCTGTTATCCTGGCCCTTCTGGAACGTGGCTGGGATCCGATACCGCCTGTGTGCAGGGTAATGGCGGGCGGGTCAGAATGGTGGTTTCCTGAGGCTGGGTATCCCGACATTTTAGCATTGAACGACGCGAAGCTTTTTTCCCGGGCTTCAGCAAAACATCGGAAGGGCTCTTGTGTGCCTCTGCCAACAAGCACTACTGTGGGGAATGTATTGGGCAAGGTATGGATGTGGTTTCTCGGCAGCGGCTTTTGATGCATCAGGAGCAGTCACCGCGTGGGCGCCGTCTGTCCGAGCTCCTGTCCACTGTCGTGGCTGGGGGCTCCTGGCCAAGGCTCCGTCGAGCAGAAGCTGCAGCGAAAGTCCAAGTATGCGCACTGTGCCCGGGATGCAGGAAACGCGTTGAGCCACTTTTCATCGTATATTGGAGTGCGAGCATCATGTGAACCACCTTATTTATGCTAAGACGGATGAGTTGATTATGGCCTCGATGACCCAGCACGAGTCGGCTCCAGCTTACTGGCTCAGAGGGGCCATGCCAGCACCCTGGACGGTGGTGCCCGAGCCGCCTGACGAAGAGGCTTGGTTCTGCACTGGCCTCAATGACGGAGTCGACGACGGAGTGCTGGGCCCAGGGGAATACGACAAACCCGTGTTGTTGTTCGGAGACGCCAGTGGCGGTCAGGATTCAGCAGATGCACGGTTCCGTCGCGTTGGGCTCGGCCTGACGATGATGGAGAGTAAGGCGAATATGAACTCGCAGGTCAACCTCTTCGGCGCGCTTCCAGGTGTGGTTCGACTTGTACCCAGAGGTGAGCTGTACATTTTGTGGGTGGCCTTGAGGATCGCTACAAAATACGTGACATGTGTGACGGACTCTAAGATGGTGCACGACGGATGGTGGTCCCAGAAGTATCTTTCTCCCTCAGGGGGACATGCAGAGTTTTGGGCCAAGATTGGGTTGTTGTTTCGAGGCACCTCTCGGCGGCCTGAGCACGTGACGGTGTTGTTCACCAGCTCCCATCTAGAAGCAGAGGGTGTCGTGGTACTTCGAGCGGGCTCAGGCTGGATGGCGGCAGGCAGCGCTGCCGCCGATGTTCTGGCAGGGGAAGGCGCAGCAGTGGCGCGAATCCCTGAGCCCGTTCGTGCCGACATCCTGGAGAAGGAACGCGTGCCGTACCTCACCCGCATGAGGATCATCAGGTCCCACATCGACGCGATGGGGGCCGAGAAGCAGCTGCAGCCGAGCGGCGACCAGACTGGTCGGCACCCGAGGCGAGGAGCTCGGGGAGCCAGGGTTGTGGAAGGGAACAGTGAGCGTGCTCCTGCTGCTGCTGGCCCTCCTCCTGACCCTCCTCCCCCTCCTCCGCCCCCTAGCCTTGATGTGCTGACTGCTTTTGAGACGGGCCACGCTCTGTCTGACTGTGGCCGACGCTGTCTTAGATGTCGTGGGTCCGCTTCGGCTGCTCTTGTTCAGGTGTGGCGTAGGTCTCCGTGTTTCAGGTCAGTTGCCTTTGATAGCTCCCTTCGTGCACTTCCTGAGGGGGCCACCCTTCACATTGCTGGGGGTTTCGTGGGCCCCTCCCACTGTATGATGTTTCGCGCTGTTTTGATGATCTGGTTTTGTGCGAGCTGTGGGATGTATGGGGACCAGCAACTTTGCGGCCGTGGGAGGGCCTGCGTCCCCCGCCCCACTGCGACGAGGAGAGAATACCTCCGCTTGATTCGTCTGGGGCAATGGCCCACGGTCTACAGCAAGTCTGGATGAGCCCGTAAAGCCCAGAAGAGGTGTACGTGATTGTTGGGGGGACTACGTCCAGGGACTCCAACTCCAACTCCAACTCCTCCTTGCTCCTCCTCCTCCTTCCCCCTCCTCCACCTCGTCCTCCTCCTCCTCCTCCGTCCTCCGCCTCTTCCTCCTCCTCCTCCTCCTTCCTCCTTCCTCCTCCTCCTTCCTCCTCCTCCATCCTCCTCCTCCTCCTCCTCCCCTTCCTCCTCTTCCTCCTCCTCCTCTTCCTCCTCCGCAGGAGGGGGTGCATCAACAATCTAGCGGTTTCGTGCAGCATCGATGATTGCAGCCATTGTCTGGTGTTCCCAGAGGGCTTCCCAAAAACCCGCCCGAGGACTCCCGAAACTCCCGATAACCTCAAGACGCCTCCCATCATCCCCCCTCTTCCCCCTCCCCTCATGCCCCTCCCCTCCTCTTTTCCACCTCTCCCCATCCTGCCCTTGGAACCCAGTAAACCGTGTTCGTGCCACTGTGAGTCGGCAGAGGAGCTGCACCGTCGTTCGCTGGCAGTGAGATCTTCCAATTCGTAGGCGACCGCGTTGGCAGTGCAAACAGTTGTTTGATCCGGTTGTGTCCAGAGCGGGCTAGGGCCTTGACTGTCCTGCCTGTCTGGGAATGAATGCACGATGTGTCCACGGATGGTGCCCGACAGGTCCTGCGTACGCGTCCTGACGCCGTCTTGGAAGCACCCCGTCGTTGTGGTGTGGTGTCGCGGCCGTGTTTGTTCCTTGTTGTGCACGGTCAAGGCGTTGCCACTGTGGCGCTTTATCCTGTGTTTGTTATGCCGCTCAGGCCCATGTGAGCGACGCAGGAAACATGTCAGATTGCGCGGGCATGCGCATCTCTTTTGTTGTTCGCTCTTTCGCCTTCTTCCCTGTTTTTTCGTTCGCCCTCGCTTCTGCCGCGTTGCAGCTGCGCTTCGCCTGGTAGTTTTCGCCATCCTCGTGCCCTACGTTTCCTGCGCTTCGCTGGCGACAGCTGTGCTGTACGCCTTGGCACTGTGCTGTGTTCGACCCTTTGACGGTGCGCGGCTGCCTCCGCAACACTCAGAAAAAGCGGGCATGCGCGTAAACTGCTTGCGTAAGACCGCGCGTAATCGACGTCGTTTCCAGTGTAGCGTGCCGCGATGGCGGCCCGCGTGAGCCACCCCGCAAGGTCATTATGTCATTTCTCGTGAGGTCCGTATCTTCTAGTCGCTCATGCTGGGAGCCTTTTTTTTTCAGGGCGGCTCTCGGGATCCTCCTGGTTTTTTTGGGGAACCTGGTGGGGCCCTCGAGCTCCCCCTGGGGGAGCTGGTTCCACAAGGCTCGGTGGATTCAGTTTTGGGCAGTTTCGGCGGGTATGGGGAGCCTCTTTAGGCAGTCTCGTGGTAGCCTTGGGCCGTCCCGGAGGGTTCGTGGCCCGTGTTGGGACCATTTGAAGGCCGTCTCGGATTGTGTTGGGGGTTTCTAGGGTCAATTTAAAGCCTTCTGAGGCCATATGAGCAGCATCGGAAATCCGCAATGAAGCCCTTCATGGTGTTGTCGTTCGGGCATCATGTAAGGTTTTTTGGGGGCGCCTCTTGAGGGCGTCGCGAGGTCTCGTGTGGCATCTTGGGAACCAACATGCCGTTGGTATGTGTGTGTGTGTGTGTGTTTCATGGGCTTTGTAGGTTCGCTTTGGGCACCTTATGGTATCGTCCCGAGGCTCTCTCCTGGTCCGTCGTTTGGGGGACGATCTCTGGGGACCTTCCCGATGAGGGGGTTTGGAGGCTTGGGAAACAACTGAATCTTCACCAGGCAACTGGCATGTCAGTGCTCCCGATTGTACCGAGGGCACGGCGGTGCATTACAAGCACCCGGAGTGAGCATGCCACCGATGTCATGGTCGGCCTTGTGGCATGCGTGTGGATTTGTCGGGATGCGGTCGCCGCGGGCTGTCATAGGGGCGTCAGGAACGGCAGCCGCACAGCGGTGCCATGCAACGGTTCCAACAGGCATTGTGGGATAAGCCTCCCAAGAGGTCATCGCAGAAGAACACCTGCATAGACATACATATTCCACGGTTCGCGCGGATTCCTTAGAGTCGCACTGGCAGGAAGGGGGGTTCCAGCGCGGATCGAAGAACACCTCGTGGACCATCGGCAGTTTATGTGTGTGCCGTCATTTGTTCCTCTAGGCCAAGGACCCGCCCGACGGTGTGTTGGCTTGTCACCTGCTCCGCTGTCCCGTCACGGAGACAATGAGAGCAGTCGGCGGAGGCGTAATCTCGGCGTGCGCCAGGCTTCCGCTACTTTCGTGAGGCGCGGCCTGATTTTGCACAGCGCCCCGTTGCGGCGGGGATGTCGGGGTGAGATCTGCGGCGGGGCGCCGACCCTTGACGACGCAGCTAAGCTTCAAGCTTCGGCGAGCTCACTCGGGCGGGCACCCGCTGCGGTGAAGTGCCAGCTCGATCGCACTTGGTTTGAGCACCCGGTCCGCCCGGGCAGAGGTCGCGCAACATGAGCAGGCGGCGGGGACGCAGCGCCCACCGCTGCTGCAAACGCATTGGCGGATCATTAATTTGGATCCATCTCCTCCCCCTCTCCCCTCCCGCCTCCCCCTCATATCTGCCCACCTCCCCTCTTCCTCACCCTTCCCACCTCCCCCTTCCCCTCCCCCTGCCCCCTGTCTTCCCACCTCCCCCTCTCCCCTCCCACCTCACCCTCTCCCTTTCCCACCGCCCCCTCCCATCCCTCCCCTCCCTTCCCGCGCCTCCTCCATCCTCCCCTCCGCACTCCCTCTCGGGGTTCGGGGAAACGTAAGACTAGGAGGAGGAGGAGGAGGAGGAAGAGGAGGAGGAGGAGGAGGAGGAGGAGGAGGAGGAGTTATCCCCTTCCAGTCTTTCCTTCCCCCGCTCTTGCCGCAACCCGCCCCTTTGAGCACCCCCGCGCCCAGTGGGGCCGCCCCACGTTCGCGAGCAACGAGCGGGTCCTGGACATGCGCCTGCTGGGAGGCCGCGAGCCTATCAAGGAGTGCGCTCACTCTGCCCAGGGAGGGGGAGGAGCAGGAGGAAAAGGAGGAGGGGGAGGAGGAGGAGGAGGATGAGGGGTTGGGAGGAGGAGGAGGGGTTGGGAGGAGGAAAAGGGGTTGAGAGGAGGAGGAGGAGGAGGAGGAGGAGGCAGGAGGAGGAGGAGGAGGAGGAGGAGGAGGAGGAGGAGGGGTTGGGAGAGGCAGGAGGAGGAAGGCGAGGAGGAGAAACTTGCAGACACAGGCACGTCCGAGCTCTTTGACTTGGACCGCATGGGCCGTGTGACAGGCATACAGGTTCTTCGCACCATGGGGCGCCAGTCCGACCTGCTGCTCCGCCCACCTCCGCTCAGAACCTGGTCCTTGGCAGGCTAAAGTGTTACAGCGTCTGCCGCACTCACCTGGCAGTACATTCGTCGACACATGACTACGTCTACCTCTGAGCCGCGCAAGTGCACCTTTCGCTGCACCGGTCTCTGAGTCCTCGAGGTGTGTCTTCCGCCCAGGGCGGCAGTACAGGGTTTCCCGCGAAGGACCGCCGGGTTGCGGAAGGAACTAGTACCCACCAGATTTTTGGGGCAGGAATTGACCCTATATGCGGCGACCACGAGGGGAGCAAGGCGAAGGGGAGCGGGAGGGGGAGGAACAGGAGATAGGCGGGAGAGGGAATAGAGAGGGCCATTATGTCCGCCTTGAAGGTTTCCGGGGCCCTTCGTGGGCCAGTCTTGGGACGTGCAGCAACAGGCTTCGGGGTCACCCTCGGCCGGGGCTGTCTTGCGCTTCTGTGGCCGTCTTTGGCCGTCGCAGGAGCCTGCGCCGTCTGCGCGATCGCCCATGGTCCCCCTTGAGCCGGGGGGGAACAACTTGGGCGGCATCTCTCGGCGTCTGGCATGCCCGAGTTCCCAGGCCCCCCCCCCCCTTTGGGAGTCCTCTTCGGCCCTCTCCTCCCCACCGCTGGGCAAGTGGGCCGAGACAGGGGCCCGGGAGCCCGCCCGCCCAGTGACGTGCGGATTCGCCGCCTATCTCCGATCTATCGGCGGCATATCGCCGGTTCCAGGTCAATGCTTCCCCCCCCTGGGCCGCGACCCCCCCCCCTTGACAGTCAGACCGCATACTTAGTGAGGTACCCTTGCATCCTTGCCTCCTCGGTCCGTCCCTGGTCACTTTCGTTGGCCGCGCCCCGCTCGGAAAGCTTCGGAATGGGCGTCCAAGGCCCTTGCCTCCTCACCGCGCATCCTTGCGCTACGGGCCGACTGCATCATCCCCTTTTCACCCAAAGGGTGGAGGCCACCCCTCGCTGTTGAGGGCGCTTCTGGGCGAGGGGGCCGGGCGGTACCCGCGCCCGTGCTCAAAGGAGGTCCAGCGGTCGCCTCGGCAGAGCGCACCTCCCGTATATCAGAGCTGCCATGGTCCAGGCCCTCCATGTCGGGTCGACGCAGGTCAGAGGAGGGAAAGGTACCAATTTCGGGTCGACGTGCAGTTTTCCCTTCTTGGGCCTCCTGGGAAGTCCTCGTCGCCACCGCTGGATTCGCGTCGAAATCCGGGTCAGAGCGCACCCCTGGAGAGGTCTGGGGGAGCAGCAGCTTGGGTACCTCTTGGCTCCCCCAATATCGGGTCGAAGTTGATGGGGACGGAGGGTCGCGCCGCATCGCTGACGCAGCGGCGGTGCGGCTTGATGTCGAGCCCGAGTTTCTCCACCATGGCGTGCATCGACGATGCGTCGCTGACGTCGCCGATGCATCGGCAATGCATCCGCGACGCGGGCCGATTCACCGACCCCTATCTGCTGCGAGCCCTTTTGGGAGGCTTCTATTTTTGGAGCAGACGGTGGTGCATCCCTGCTCTGCAATGCCCTGAAGTCTGCAGTCGGGTGGTCTGCAATCGCGCCGCGCACTCCTTGCCTGCAGTCGGACTACGAGGCAGAGTTCGACGGTGACGGGAAGCTCTCGAAGATTCAGATGCGATTTCACATGGACGTGGGCTGCTTCCTCGGTGACGTGGGGGGGCGGGCGGAGCTTCGCCCTCGTGTTTTTGGGGAGGTGTCTCGGCGACGCGCAGACGGGGGTGTGGCGACCGGGCCCGGCCAGGAAAGCCCCCTCCCCTCCGCCTGTATGAGCGCAGAGCAAAAAGCAATGTCTGCTGAGGGGCCATCTGCCAGGGGGAAGGGGAGCCAGCTCCGACCCCTCTGGATCTCAGGGCCGACGCGAGGGTGCGAAGCAAGTGGCGCTTCGCGATCTGGGCGATTTCAGCGCGAGGCGCGAGTCCATCATGTTGCTCCAGGGGGGTAAGGGGCGGCGGCGCATAAGTGCGAACATAATCGCTTTCGGCGGAGCGCGAAGCGCGAAGATCTTAGTGCGCGCCTCCTTTTTCGCTCGCCTCAGTTCCGGGCGGGGCCGGGGCCGACCGCAGAGAAACGGCGGTCAAGCCAGAACAATTGGCTTTGACCTGGTCGCGCTCGTCGTCGTTGCCCTCTGCGACGCGTTCGACCGGCACGCGAAATCTTTCGCTCGCGGAGAAATAACTATTCGACGTCTTGAGATCCGCAGATAAGGACAAACGCACACAAGACTAAAACAAGAGGTCAAGCCAGAAAGAAATTGACTTGGGCATGGTCGCAAAAAATCTGCGCGAACGCATTGCTTCGCTTGCAGAGGAAAATACTTATTCGACATGTTGAGCCCCGCAGACGGGACGAACGCACGCCCGAGATCAAATCGAGAGGTCGAGCCGGCAAACATTGCAACCGGCTCGTTTCTCTCTGTTTGTCATCGCGTTCTGCGAAACACAAGGGCAGCGGGGGGGGCGCAAGGGGAGAACGCAGAGAGGGGCCCAGGGGAGAGCCCCAGAAGAGGGTGCAGGAGGAGTCCCAGGAGAGGGGGCCCAGGAGGGGGCCCAGGAGGGGATTCAGGAGGGACCAAGAGGGGCCCAGGAGGGGCTCAGGAGGGACCCGGAAGGATGCGGGAGGGACTCAGGAGGGACCCGGAGGAACCCAGGAGGGACGCAGGAGGGGGCACAGAGGGACCCAGGAGGGACTTAGGAGGGGGCCCAGGAGGGGGCCCAGGAGGGAACCCAGGAGGGCGCAAAAAAAAACACACAAGAGGATGTCAATAAGAAACCCAGCAGAGGAACCAAGCAAAGGGAACCCAGCAACAGTGTAGTGTATAATGTATGGTTATGTTGTACTACTACCACTACTACTACTACTACTACTACTACTACTACTACTACTACTACTACTACTACTACTACACCTACAACTACAACTACAACTACAGCTGCTGCTACTACTACTACTACTACTACTACTACTACTACTACCACTACGACTACGACTACGACTACGACTACGACTACGACTACTACTACTACTACGACTACTACAACTACTACTACTACTACTATTACTACTACTACTTTGGCTACGACTACGACTACGACGCCTACTACTACTACTACTACTACTACTACTACTACTACTACTACGACTACTACTACTACTACTACTACTACGACTACTACCACGACTACGTTTACTTTTAGTACTACTACTACTACTACTACTATTACTTCTACTACTACTACTACTACTACTACTACTGCTACTACTACTACTACTACTACCACTACTACTTTTACTACTACTACTACTACTACTACTACTACTACTACTACTACTACTACTACTACTACTACTACTACTACTACTACTACTACTACTACTACTACTACTACTACTACTACTACTACTACTACTACTACTACTACTACTACTACTACTACTACGACTACCGCGCGTGGACCCATCGCGCACACAGCGCGCACCACGTGCGCGTGCACCATTCGCGCCGCGTGCTCGCTGGCGTGCACAATGGACGTGCGCTGCTGTGCACGCGCTGATGGGCTCGCGCGGGTGGTCGCGCTGCGTTGCTCGCCTCCGCTTCAAACCGAGCTGCCGCGTCGCGCAGCTTCTTGGGCCCAACCATTGCTTGCAGCTCTGATCGCCCCAGACCATTGCCCGCGCCGATGGCGTACGAGTGCGCCTCCCTGCATGACGTCGCCCCCAGCGCTGTCGCGCCAGCAGATGCCGCTTGGCGCAACGCCGGCCACTCTCAGTCTCAGCGCCTGCTGGCTGGCGAGGACAGAAGCCATTCAATGCATCACTTGCCCATTGATTCGCCCCGCCCCGTAGGCCAAATGCTCGCCGCGCCCCCCCTCTCAGCACCCCTCTCTCTGCCTACCAAAACAAAGAACAACTAACGATACAGTGTTTGCCGCTCTCGATGCAAGGAAATACAATGCATGTTTGTTTTGGTTTGCGAAACAGCGAAAACATGCTTCTCCTTGTTGTATTATCTTGGTTTTGGGAGGCAGAGAGAAAGGCGCCCGTGGCGAGGCCGCGGCGAGCATGGGGGCCTGCGAAACAAACAAAAAAACATACACAGTGTTTGGCGCCCTCGGTGCAAGGAAATGCTGTGAGCGTTCAGGTTTTTTTTTGTTTGGGAATTGTGAAACAACGAATTACTGTTCATGTGTGGTTGTTGCTGTTTCTTTTGTTTTGTTTTGTTTTGGGGGGCAGAGAAACGGGTGCTGGTAGCGAGGCCGCGGCGAGCATGGGGGCGTGCAAAACCCAAAAAATGTTTGGCGCCCTCGATACAACGCAATGCTGTGCATGTTTGTTGTGCTTGTTTTTGTTGATTGTGAAACAACGAAACGTTGCGGTTTGTTTTGTTTGTTTTTTGTTGTGGGAGGCAGACAGCGCGGTGTTGGTAGTGTGGCCGCGGCGGGCGGCGGGGGTTTGCGGTGACCAAAAATACAAACGTACACGGCGTTGCGCTGCTTCACATACCAAAGGACCAAACAACAAAACAACATTCACAACGCCTCCTTGCATCCAGGGCGCCAGACATGTTTTTTTTATGGTTTTGGGAGGCAGAGAGGAGAGTGCTGGAAGTGAGGCCGCGGCGAGCATCGGGGCTTGCAGAGCCGCCCCCCCTCAAAAAAAAGTGTTTCGTTGTTTCACATGCCAACAAAAAACGCATCACACATAAACATACACAGCGTTTCCTTGCATCGAGGGCGCCATATGTATATATTATATAATCATTGGTTTTGGGAGGCAGGGAAAATAATGCTGGCAGTGAGGCCGCGGCGAGCATGGGGGCTTGCACAACCCCCAAAACCTTATTACAAACACAAGCATACGCAGCGCTTCGCTGTTTCACAAGAAAAAACAACAACACATCAAAACATACGCAGCGCATCCTTGCATCGAGGGCACCAAACACTGTGTATTTCTGGGTTTTGGGAGGCACAGAAAAGGGTGCTGATGATAAGATCCATGGAAGAAGTGATACGGCATGCATGGGAAGAGGATGGGGACCACTGGAGGAGGATGGGAAGGAGCAAGCGATCAATGATGGATTTGTGGTTTTGGTGGTTTGGGGGTTGCTGGGGGGTGGGGGGACCATATATATATATATACATAAATACATACATACATACATACATACATACATACATACATACGTGGTGCATTCCATCCTGCGCAATAAATGTGATGCAGGCTATGTGATTCCTTGTTCGTGCATCGCCGTGGGTTGTGCACTACACGACATGCAAAATACGTGGTTCTGATTTGTTATCCGAACAGTGTTGCTTCTATTGTAACGATCAGCCGCTGACATGTTCGCTCAAGCTCTCTACCCCGGGGGATGCATGTGGTCCCTCCGTGGGCTGTCGGCGCCATCGCCCGCTTCGCGCATGGGGTGCCATTTTTTTGAGTCAGGCGCTGGCAGTTCCGACGTGTCCGAGTATTGGGGGGGGCCCATCCGTGAGGGGCGTAAGGAACAGTGGTGTGGGCATATGATGGTCGGGGCCACGAGATCTCCCACATGTCATTGTCCGCGTCGCTTCTTTCAAGACGTTCACTGATCCCCCCCCATCGTCCGCGCACAGCCTCGGCCCATGACGCTCAGAGGCATCCGATGAATGCACCACGTGGTTGGGTCGGCCAGGGAGCCTGCGGGTTCGGCGGAGGAGTTGGGCACACGGGCGATCCAGCGTCCCACAGGTGGGGCAGCTGGGCCGACTATAGTTGCATTGGTGCTCTGCTTGGCCGACCCACACACGTGGCCTGCTCATCGTACACCTCCTAGACGCGTCCCCCTCCATCCTGCCCTTTCCTTCGGCGCACGCGAGGATATCGCGAACGCTCTACGACCGGCGCCGCCCACCCAGGTGGGGGACGTCGACGGCGGTGGCGGCGGTGGCGGCGGCGGCGACGACGACGACGTTGACGCGGGCCCCAGTCTTCGGGGATATTTTGCTTGGGGGTCTCTTGGGAGGGCTCTCGGTTGCCTCCTGGGAGGAATTTTTGGGCTCATCGCGCCCCCCCTCGACCCTCCAACCTCTCCCCTGCCATCCTCGTCGGCACACGCGCGAGGATCGCCTCGTCGCGGGTGGCCCCAGGCCGTGGTTGCCTCACGGCGGTGCCGCCGGCCCCGGCCGCGCGCGCCAGGCGACGCCGACGACGACCTGTCCATGGCGATCGGCTTCTCGGACAACGCCTTCTACTGCCCGAGCTTCAAGTGTGATGGCGCGTGGGAGGGGGGGAGGGCGGAGGGAGGGATGGGAGGAAGGAGGAGAATGGGGGTGGGGAAGGGGGGGGGGACGGAGGATTTGGGGGACTGCCGGGTGCGCAACAGGTTTTCAGGGAACCGAAGCCAATCTTTCAGCATAGGGGGCGACCGTCAGAGTGCCTCGTGGGGCGGTTGCAGTTTACCAGAACTCATTGCTGGAGGCAGCTTCCCCTCAAGGAAGGATCTGTTCGGGGGCGGAAAAGAGGGGGGTGATGACTAGGGGGGTGTGGATATCATGGCGGGAGCCATGATATTTCCCCAGATTTCATGGCGCCTCTTCTTATTTCATTACGTCCCTGGCCCCCCCGCTGGGCCGCGCACATGCCGCCAGTCATGATTTGCACCCCCCCCTCTTGGACACCCCCCTCTTTGCCGCTCCCGATCTGTGATCAAGGGCATTTGAGGGTCTCGTCCTTCCTGTCGCAAGTCTGATAGAAACCAGGTCTTCGACTCAACTGTTTGTCGCGGATCGTTGCATCTGTGACGCCCCTCCCCGCCGATCGAAGACACAGGGCGGAGGGCGGAGGGATAGATGTCGCTACTCCTCTGCTCGTCAGTGCGCCTGGATTGGGGCGAAGGCATCGCTCGCCCTTCTCGGATGCGAACGTACCCTTCACAACTCGCCCCTCTCAGCGTTCCCGCCCTGGTTGGCCACGGTTGGCCACTGTTCCGAAGGCCACGGGACTTGCATGAGGAGGGCCCGTGCCCCAAACCCGGAATCTCAGGCGAGACAGCAGAGAATAATTTGTTGTTGTCCGGCGAACGTAGCGAAATTCGAGCCATGGCCTTGGACTCGGGCCCGGGGATACCGCCACGCTCGCAGGACAACCCAAATGCGGTCTTAACGGCCACACATCTGGGACAGAATTCAACAAATTATGATGGGAAGAATGTGTTGTAGGGAATTGGCATGGAGGAGGGGCTACAGGAGAGGCCCCCAGGGGGGATGGCCAACGGGGATGAAGCGGAGGGGGAAGGGGAGGAGGAGGAGTAGAATGAGGAGGAGGAGGAGGGCAGAGAGGAATAGAAGGAGGAGAAGGGGGAGGAGGAGGAACTGGGGAGAGCTGGGGAACAGTGGGAAAAGGGGGGAGGAAGAGAAGGAGCAGGAGGAGGTTGAGGATGAGGAATTGGGGAGAGCTGGAAAACAGTGGGAAAGGGGATGGATGGGTGGAGGAGGGGGGAGAGAGGAGGATGTGGAGGCAGAGGAAAAGGAGGAGGAGGTCGAAGGTGTGAGAAGAGGAGTCGGAGGAGGAGGAGGACCAGTGGAAGCCAAAGAGTCATCAACGAATTTGGAAGTAACCCTCCCTCCACGCTCCCGCTTCATAGGCCCCTGCAACGGTTCATTTCCATTGAGGGAACTGCCTCGTTGGAAAAACAGTTTGAAGATCTTCAAGCGTGCCAAAACATTGTTCTCGGGATTGCAACGCCACGTAGCAACCTGACTGCTGAGTCTTGACGATTCAGAATCGTGCCAGAACGCCGTTTTGGGACGTCAGCACAGCGAATCGACATAAGTGTTGGGCCCGCATAGTCATTGGACACCTTCCGCTGTGCGCGGCGCTGAGGCGAGAGCCACATTTTGAAAACGACCCGCCCTCAATCCGTGAATTTCTGGCAAATGTTCAAAACGAATGTGCGCGGCGCTGAGGCGAGAGCCACATTTTTAAAACCACCCGCCCTCAATCCGTGACACTCTTGCATTTGTTTTGAACCGATGTGCGCGGCGCTAAGGCGAGAGCCACATTTTGAAAACGACCCGCCCTCCATCTGTGAAGCTGTTGTCATATTTTCAGAATCTTAAATGGTGAGGAAATCTCAGGCGAAACGCCCGGCCCGCCCTAACAACTTGCCTCGGTGTGCGACAGGGAGGAGTTATCTGCAAGGAGAAGAAAGGAGGAGGAGGAGGAGAAGGAGGAGGAGGACGAGGAGGGGGAGGGGTGAGTTTAGGACTAGGATTTTGGGCCAGATCGCGTGGGGCCGCGGGGGCGGAGGCGTGTCGTTGGGGCGCATCGCGGTCGAGCGAGTAACCTGGAGACGCCGCCGCCCCGAAGATTTGGCAGCCGAGTGTCGCCACACGGGGCAGCAGGCGGGACGGGGCGCAGCAGCCTGCCCGGAGGCGTCCCGTACATGACGCACACGATGCACAGGACGTCCCAGCGAGCGCCGGGCGTCTTGCAGTCGATCTGCTCCATGCAGGTGGCCCGCCTCTTCCCGGGGGGGCCCACGCCGCGTCCGGATGTCGCGGCGTCGTACACTCTCCCAGTCCTCCTCCTCCTCCTCCTCCTTCTCCTGCTCCACCTGCCTTCTCCTCCTCCTCACCTCCTACTCCCCTGCCCCCCCCCCCTTCCATCCTCCACGTCCTCCCCTTGCTCGTCATCGTCCTCCTCCACGTCCCTTTTCTCCTTTATCCTGCCCCCTCTCATGTGCACTGGTTCTCCTCCTTCCTCTCGTCCTCGTCCTCCTCCACCTCCTCCTCCCCCTCTGCTCGTATGCTTCGGTGTTCCTCCCTCCTTCGTCCTCGCGCGTCCTCCTGCTCCTCGTCCTCCGTCCTCCTCCCTCGGGTCGCACGCTGCCGAGCGCGCAGGTGTCGGAGGAGCACAGGAGGAGAGGAGGAGGAGGAGGAGGAGGAGGAGGAGGAGCAGGAGGAGGAGGAGGAGGAGGAGGAAGAGCAGGACGAGGAGGACGAGGAGGAATAGGAGGAGGAGGAGGAGGAGGAGGAGGAGGAGGAGGAGGAAGGAGCAGGAGGGAGAAGCACGGAGACGGCACGAGGAGGAAGGAGGAGGAGGAGGAGGAGAGAGAGAGAGCAGGGGAAGAGGAGGAGGGGGAGGAGGACGAGGAGGAGGAGGAGGAGGAGGAGAAGGGAGGAGGAAGGAGGAGGAGGAGGGGTGTGGGGGAGGGGGAGGGGGAGGGGGAGGGGGACAAGCTAGGTGCGCTCGCGTCATATCTGACATCCTACCCCTCCCTCCCATCCCTTACCATGGCGCAGATCCCCTCTCTACTCGCACAGTCGGATGTTGAGCAGGGCAATGATCCCGAAAGGGTACGCGATGCATTGTAGAGCACGGCATGGCATGGCGTAGAAGAGCACCGCAAAGCGTAGTATCAACCTAGCATTGCATTGCATGCCGTGGCATGGCACGGGAAATGACGCCAGCGCTGCAGTGGGAGCACGAGTCGAAACGAGCGGAAGCGCGGAACTCAGGCCAGCGCTGCAGCGGGAGCACGATTCGGAACGAGCGCAAGCGCGGAACTGAGGCCAGCGCTGCAGCGGGAGCACGATTCGGAACGAGCGGGGCCCGAAGATGAGGCCGGCGCCTCAGCGAGAGCAGCATTTTGAAAGACCATGCAGGCTAAAACCCAACTCCCGGGAAACCTGTGTGTAAAAAACAGTACGCGGGGGGGGGGGGGTCGGACACTTTCAAACGGTCATCAGGGGAAGAGGGAGAGTATATTGAGTAATTGAGGAGCAGGAGGAGGAGGAGGAGGAGGAGAAGGAGGAGGAGGAGGAGGGAGAGGAGGAGGAGGGGGAGGGGAAGGAGGAGAAGGAGGAGGCGAAGGAGGAGGAGGAGGAGGACGACGAGGAGGACGAGGCGGGGTTGGAAGAGGAGACTATGAACTTCAGATGCTTCTCTGCACAATGTCATACATCGAGGAAGCCCACCAGGGTGTGTGAGCCGCGGCCCTGGAGCGCCGGCCCAAACCTCCACGTGCTCGAGAGTTGCGGCGGGAAGCGGGAAGCAGCGGGGGGCGAGGCAGGGGGAGGCCGAGACGAGACGTCAGGGAGACGTCACGTGCCGGTTCTCGAGCTGCGTTTGCGCCCGTCCACAGGGGAGAAGCCAAGCACGAGGCGACATTAAAGACGGGGGAGAGAGGAAGAGGGAGGGAGGAGGAAGAAGAAGGCATGCAGTGTTACCTCAATGTATCGCACCTGTCGGTGTTGGGCGGTAGTTGTCCGGTTTGTCGGGGCTTCTTCGCCGCCACTACCCATTCCCTGTCTTCTTGGGAGGATGAGGAGAGACCAGTCGGCCACTCTTCCCCAAGCCTGGCATGCCCACTTGGCTGTGCGTAGTTGGAAGCTTCCCTGTCACGACCTGGATGGGGATGGAGAAGGGAGAGGTGGGGAGAGGGAAGCGGGTGCAGCCAGACCTCTGGAGTAAGGACCATTTTGGGTTCGGGATGTGGTTGGGGGATCCAGAAAGCGTGCCTCAAGCTGCGCGCGAGGCTCCTCGATCAGATCGGCGTGAGTGGCCCTACGACCCCAGTCCGACCCTTGCCACGGGCAAGCACACGGTGCGCCAAGAGCGCCGCCTCTGCAAGCGCGTGGCGCCGACGAGGCGAAGTTGACGCCGCATCGGGGATTGACCCCTCGTCGGCTCCTTCCCGAGGATCGGGAGCCATGGTGCCTTTCAGCGGCCAGTACGGCAGCCGCCGTCGCGCCAGCAGCAGCAGTCCGTCTGGCCGAGCGCGCGTCTCCGTCGCCCTGCAGCGGCCGCCCTGGCACAGGCCGAAAAGCGCGCGATTCGGGCGGGTGGTGATGGGGGTTGACCCACATGGGGGCTGAACAAAAAGGCCCTCAAGGGGCCCTTCAGGGCCACTTTTTTGGGGCATCGGATTGCCTCACAAGGGGCCCTGAAGGGCCCTTGCAGGGCCTTTTTCTCCCCCCCCCCAGCTGTGTCACCCCCCAATGACCACCCGCTCGAGCGACCGACCATGTGCCAAAATCGTGTTCCCCCCCCCAAGGGATGCCATTGTTGTGCACAGCCCCCGCTCCACGGTGTTGTGCCAGGCCAGCTTCTCCGTGGAGGAGGCGTGCAGAAACCGCGCCCCTTTCTGGAAGGGTCCGAGGGCTCCGCGGCCGTGTGCGTCGGACGTGCCGGGGAGCACGGGCGGGCAGAGAGAGGCTGGCGACCCCCTTGCCCCGCGGGGGGAGGTCATCCTGGAGCACATCTCGCGCAGCCTGAAGCTGCCCTTCGAGCTCGTGCAGGAAGCGGCTCCCGTGCGATCCTGCCGTTTTCTGCCCCGCGCCCACCCAAGGTGCTCGTCGAGCCTACAACAGATACTTCGATTGCTCCGTAGATCGACGGGGTCCTTGATTTGTTCAGTCGACTCGACTGAGAATCAATGTTTGGGCACAGCAAGGGTCAATTCTGCAGTCGATCCCCTACTCGACCCGTGTCTCTAGGAGCGGTCAGGCTCGAGTTCTCTGGAAGTCGTGTTTGCAGACGCTTCTTGACGGGCTTGTCTCGAATTTGGACGGTTCAGTGATCGTGGAGTGTGAGCAGCCGGAATCCGCGTCAAATATCAGGCGGGGTCTCATCATTTTTCTGACAGTCATGGCAGTGCAACTCGAGTCGTCCAAACTCGAGTATTACGTGCTCTCGACCTTGGCTCGGAGAAGAACACATTGCCTGAACACAATTTTCCTTCGTTCCGAGCGGATTCTTGAGGATCGTTTTCTTATGCATTGTTTTGCCGATCGGCGCGGGCCCTCGCACCCCCTCTCCACCCCCGGGGAGTAGATCTTGGCTTTTTTTTGCGCCTGTTTCAGGTAGGTTGGGTCTCCCCCATGGGACGCGCCGGTGCAAACAGTCGCACTAAGCAGAGGTCGGGAGCCAGATCCCCCTCCCCCCCCTTCCGCCCAATGTCGAAACGCCGAATAAGAAAACAGTAAACGTTGACTTGGTTCGGGGGGCTCCGCGCAGGTTCAAGATAGCCACACGGACCTCTGAAGGTTTCTGCTTACACAGTGTTTGCTTCCTGGGTGGGCGGCGGGTGAGCGCGAGCAGGATCAGGGCGGCGGCCTTCTGCGAAACGCCTCGTCGGACCACCTGCCGGACCCACCCCTCCAGGTCTAATCGGCGCTGGGGCATCGGGCATCGGACACCCCCCGTGGGTTTGGGGCTGACTCGGTAGCAGGTCTCTCCAGGGTTCACACGGGCGGTGCAGAAGAGAACGACGTCGTCTTCACCTGCACTGGCGCCGAAAGCCCTGCCGCGAGCCACTGCCGTGCCGTGACGGGCCGCGCCGGCGGTGCGCGTGAGCCGCGCGTGAGGGCGCCGTGTCATCATCTCGCGCAGGACCATTTTGTGTTAGATCGTCGGCCACATGCCTGGCATCGCTCGGACGTGTGCATTTTTCCTTTGGCGAGGGCCATCGAGGAGCATCCTTGATCATTTGGCGAAAAAACCACGCACGAAACCGAAACAAACACAGGGAATGGACGTCCGAGCGATGGCGAGCATGTGCCTGCCGTATCCCGGGGGACCCGGGCTCACGCGTGGCTGCCTCCTCCCTGTCTCCGCCCCCCCGTCGTTAGCAGGCCAGCCGGAGGCCGCTGCCCGATGATGCATCAGTGCTCGTGCCCAGCGTCGTGCGGTCCACGCTGCGCTCGAGGAGCTACGTGGCTTCGTGGGGTCCGAGGGCTCGATGGGCGTCATCCACAAGTTCGGGGGCGGAAAAGATGGGGGTGATGACTAGGGGGGGGTGGATATCATGGCGCGGGCCATAATATTTCCCCAGGTTTCATGGCGCCTCTTCTTATTTCATTACGTCCCAGGCCCCCCCGCTGGGCCGCGCACATGCCGCCGGTCATGATTTGCACCCACCCATCTTGGACACCCCCCTCTTGGCCGCTCCCGAGGCTCGATGGGCGTCCTCCACAAGTCTCTTCGGCCACCCACCTTGCCATCGCTGGATCTCGAGCGAGGGACGTCTATGCTGTTCAATGCGAGGGACCCCCCCCCGGACCCCCCCCGGGGACCCCGCCCACTACCTTCCCCCCCCCGTCCTTGCCAGGGAAGGGATCAAAGGGAAGGGGCTCCCCTTCGAATCAATCACGTCACGAGGCAGTTTTGTTTTCCCGTTCGGCTGGATCGATTGACGAGGAGGGCTCAGGGAACGGGGGAGGCGACAGCGACGAGCACACGACTCAAACGGACAAACGCTTTCACACGCCGACGGGGTCGGCGGATTTGCAAGGAGCCCCGTCACGGCCCCCAGAGCGGCCACCACGAAGCCCAGAGCTCTGCACGAACGAAATGGGCACGGAAAGAATGGGTACAATGCCCAACAGCGGATCCTGTCCATTTTGAACAGGACTCGCTGTCCACGCCGCCGCGGCCTGTGTTCATTCGAGACAGAAGGCCGCCTGCCCAACAGCGGCCGCTGTTGGTTTGAGACAGCATTTGTTGCTGGGCACTGTGCCAATTTTTTCCGTGCCCATTTCGGGCGCCCAATAGAGCGACACAGGGGGCCTTCATGGTGGAGCGATGGTTTGGAGACGCCTCGGGACGGCCCCCGAGTCGTCCCCCCGGGGCCGGCGCGGGGGCGCCTCCTTGCAGCCACGGAGGTCCCGGTGAATTCCCGGGGGCTGGCTCGTCATCCCGAGTCGTTTTTGTTGACGGTCACGGTGACGGTTCACAAGGGCGACGTACACCTTAGGCGATGCTTAAGAAAACTTAAGTTTTCGGCCAGAGTCTCGATTATTCTTAACGTTTCAATGTAAATCCCAAGATTTTAATAGACATGTTGGGTTTTTATTCGGATTCCGAGATTATGAATTTCTTAACCCATGATTTCTTAAGCATTTCGCAGGGTGTACATCCGTCCTGTCAGAGGCCTAGAGGTTGCCACCAACACCGAGACCCGCTGCGTGCCTCCGCCGAGGGAAGATGATCCTGATCTCGGTGATGGTGTCAATAGTCGGGTTTCCCATGTTGCCGAAGCATCACCTAAACCAGAACCTAGGACTATCCTCCCCCAGTGTTATGATGCCCCAACCTACTTCAGCCTTGACCGCCAGGAAGAATTTCGAGCGCCAGAAACAATGTACCGAAACCCTAGGGTTTTCACGTGTCGGGCCCTGGGAGATGCTCGCCTGACACTGTTTCGACGCTGTTTCGACACTCTTTTGACACTTTCCCGGGTGCTCGAAACTATTTCTGGGGTGTGGTCCTTAAGTCGAATGGGAGCAACATACCCCAGTGGAGGCGACCCCCCTGTGTTGGTGCTGGTGCCCACTTCCGAGCCTCCAGTCTTGATTTGTGCAGCGCTCCTTGGACGGTGCAGGGGGCCTGGCGCGGGCCTCCGGCGGCTGCCTTCCCCTCCCCCGCTCTGCCCCCGCCTCGTCCTCCCCCTCGTCCTGCCTCTCGTCTCGTCGGTGTCCTCCTCCTCCTCCTCCTCCTCCTCCTCCTCCTCTGCCTCCTCCTCCTCCTCCTCCTCCTCCTCCGCTGCCTCCTCCTCCTCCTCCTCTTCCTCCTCCTCCTCCTCCTCCTTCTCCTCCTCCCACTGTTTCTCAACGCCTCGGGCCTCCTCGGCGGGAGGAAGAGCGACACCAACACCACCAGGGGGGCCCCCTCCAGAGAGGAGGTCCACGACGCTGCCCCGAGCTGGAGGCCGGTGCCGTCTCGAGCGAGAGGGTGGGGACCACGCCTCCAGGGAGACCCCCTTGCCCCTGGCATCCCCTCGCCCTGGTTCAGGCGATCGCAAACATGGATAAAGGGGGCGTGGATTAGCGACGGGTCCCGTTTCCATGGGGAATCGCGGATTGCCGCCGCCGAACGAGTCGGCACAGGGGCATATTGGAGAGGGCACATCCCCCGATCCATGGATTTGGCGACCGCGTACCACATCCATGGATCGCTAAACCATGTTTGCGCGCCCCCGACTCTCCTCGCCCCGGTGGTGTTGGTGTCACCTTTCCTTATTCCTACCTCTCGGGCGCGCCCCCAGGAGAAGAACTTCTACAGCGCCGGGCAGCAGACCCCCTTCGGCGACACGCTCGGGTGGGCCAGGGCGGAGGTGGCCCCCTTGCCCTCGGCCACGCGAAGGAGTTGCCTTAAAACGGCCAAGGGTTTTTCATGTTGAGTGTTGAGGAACCCCCCTCAGCTCTCGGCGGGGAATACAAACTCGTCCCTCCTTCTCCTTCCCCTCCCTCCTCCTCCTCCTCCTCCTCCTCCTCCTCCTCCTCCTCATCATCCTTTTTTCCCTTCGGCGATATGCTCGGGTGGGCCAGAACGGATGTCTAGGCCTCCAAGATGGGATCGGAGTAGATAGGGTAAGAGGGTCGCAGATTCGCGTCGTGTCGACCACCGGCGAGCCCGCCGCCGGCATTCAACATTGAACGCCGCCGGACAGGAGGTATAGTCAAAAATAGTCAACAAACATAGTCAGGGGACGATGTTTTACCATGTTTGATGATATCGGTGTGTGTTTTGTCTTTCTACGTGCTCCTTCAAAATCCCCCTGGGAGACATGCCCGACCTAAAACAAAGGCTCTGCCAGGGGTTCTGGGGGCTTTCCCAGAGGTTGTGGGATTTCTCCCAGCGGTTCTAGGCCACCCGGGCGTGGTGATACCTAGAAGCATGGCGTGGGCAGGGCGATTGCGAAGGCGATGTGCCATCTGGGCTGGAGTTGTTGCAGTGCCTCGGAATCGGAAGAAGTGGTGTGAAGACCTCGGGCGGGAGATTTGGGTCAGGGGCTACCAGGCCCCACGTGCAAGAAACTCATCCCCAAGAAAGAGGGGGAGCCATCATGATAGATGCATGCTGCATACCGGAACTCTCCGTTTGTTTCCGCGCAGCAGGTTTTATCTTGGAGTGTGCCCGGGTCGCCCCGCCGGTGCCGGGGGTCATTGCGGCAGTAAGAAGGACTGCCGCCCGAGGGCCCCGCGCGACGAGAGTTCTTGTTGTGCTTGCCAAAGCTGTTGGTGGGGTTGCCCCCGGAGCTGGGGGAAGTTGGGGACCAATCGAAAATGACAAAACAAACAAGAGGTCGCCATATAGAATCACAGAGTATTCGGAAACATTGACTCTTGTTGTTCGTGCGTGAATGTCCGTGTGGATTCAGATGCGGATGTCCGTGTATGTTCGTGCGCGCGTGTGTGTGTGTGTGTGTGTGTATGTGCCTGGACGCCCGTGCGGAATCCTTCCCCGGCCGCGCGCGCTCAACAAGTGAGAATGTGTGGCTGTGTGTGTGTGTGTGCGTGTGCCCGCCCGCCCCGCCCCCCTCTGCCTGGGGCCTGGGCTCGTCCTGCCGCCCACGCCCCGCCCCGCGCGCCCCGCTCTGCTTGATTTTCGGGCCGGCCCCCTCCCTCACGGCGGGCCCTCGCTGGTCGCCACCGGCCTGGATGCCTTGCGATCCGTGTCCCTTCCGCATCACGTGGCCAGGGGCGTTGCGTGCACACCTCCCCGCAGGGCCCGCTGCCAGGCAGCCTGCCTTGCCGGCTACCCCCCCTCCCCGCCGCCGCCCCGCGGCTCCCGGCGCCGCCCTGCCGCCGCTTGGCTCCGCTCTGCTCGGGGCCAGCTTCCCCCTCCCACCTGCCTTCGCCGGGCGTTCCTTCTTTCGCCCCCGTTCATATTCGTACGTCCTACTTATGCGTTTCCGCCAGCGCAGTCACTCTGCCTAGCCGCCGACGCGAACTAGTGTGTGTGTGTGTACGTGTACGTGTACGTGTACGTGTACCTGTACGTGTACGTGTACGTGTACGTGTACGTGTGCGCGTGCGTGTGCGTGTGCGTGTGCGTGTGCGTGTGCGTGTGCATGTACGTGTGCGTGTGCGAGTGCGTGTGCGTGTGTGTGTGCGTGTGCGTGTGCGTGTGCGTGTGCGTGTGCGTGTGCGTGTGCGTGTGCGTGTGCGTGTGTGTGTGTGTGTGTTTGTGCGTGTTCGCGTGTGTGTTCGTGTGCGTGTGCGTGTGCGTGTGCGTGTGCGTGTGCGTGTGCGCGTGTGCGTGTGCGTGTGCGTGTGCGTGTGTGTGTGTGTGTGTGTGTGTGTGTGTGTGCGTGGTGCGTGCGTGCGTGCGTGCGTGCGTGCGTGCGTGTGCGTGCGTGCGTGCGTGCGTGCGTGCGTGCGTGCGTGCGTGCGTGCGTGCGTGCGTGCGTGCGTGCGTGCGTGCGTGCGTGCGTGCGTGCTTGTGTGCATGTGTGAGTGTATGCTTGTGTGTGCGTTTGCTTGTCGCTCTTGTCTCCTTTCCCTTCTTCTGCTTGTGCCTGCCTCCAGCCGTTTTTCCGCTGCTCTGGCCAGGCGTCGCGTGACGGCCAGGTAACAGAGCGATGGGTTGCCGAGGGAAGAAGTGTGTTCCGCCGGGAGTGGGCTTCTCGGCCACGCTTTCCTCGGCTCGGGCCCAGGCTTTTTCACCTGCACGCTGCACGCCTGGCTTCCCGCCTTCACTTCACGCGCGCTCGCCTAGCGCAGCCGCTCCCTTTGTCGGAGCTGCGCCTTGCCCAGCGCAGCCCCCCATCTGCAGCGCCGGGCAGAGTTGACGCTAAACGTGTCTAGCTTCAGCTGACGCTGAAGTGATGTCACTCGGCTGCCGAAGGAACGAGCATTTGCGTGTGTGTATCGATATACATATATATATATATATATATATACATAGACTGGGTTTCGGCCTCCGCGGGCCCCTCCAGACCCTGGGCCATCGGAAAACGCCCCACGGCGGCAGCAGCGGGTCTGCAAAGGGTGCGGGAGCTGTTGGCATTGGAAGCAGCACGGCGGTGCAGGAGGAAGATTCCAATGTGTTTCGCCTCGTTGTTTTTGTCGTCCATTTCGGAGGGCCCCCCGTCGCCACCACGGTTGGATTCGCTTCGAAGCGCCGGTTCGAACGGTTCAAATCCCCATGCAAACTATCACCCAGACGGTGGCGACGCATTACCTTCGCATGGGGCATGCGGCTTGCATGCACGATCGCCCAGGGACGGGTACCTCATGGGGCGATGGCTTGGATGCCCCCCTTCTCCCCCTCCTTTCTTCTGCCTCCTCCTCCTCTTTCGCCTCTTGGTCCTCCCTCCTTCACTCTCCTGCCGCCTGCATTGTCCTCCCTTCTCCACCTCTCTAATCGTTACTTCTCCTTCCCATCCCTCCTCCTCGCCCCCTTCCGAAAAGAAGGAGGAACAGCAGGAGTGGGAGCGGCGGGAGGAGGTACGGGCAGGTAGGGGGAGGGGAAGGTAGGATCTGGCTTAGAGAAGGTAGGATGGTGGGCGCAGGTGGCAAGTATGATTTAGGAGGATCAGGTAGGAGAGTGTAGGACGAGGAGGGCAGAGATCTGATGGATGGAGCAGGATAGGATGAGGACAGAGATGAAGAGGGGGAAGCTGCAGGGGTCGGAGGGTGACGAGGGGGGTCGGCCAGGTCGGACGTCTACAACTGGACGCTGCCGGAGTTGTGGCAGCAGCTGAAGCGCGACGCGGACTTCGACACGAGGTCCAGCGCGGTGGACACATTCAACAGCGCGAACCGCTGGCGGAAGCGCGGGATCGCCATGGTCCCCTGCAAGTACGTCATGGGCCTGTCGGACTATAACATGAACGCTCTGGTCAATGTCTACTCCGACGGCTCAGTGCTGGTCGCCCACGGTGGCTGCGAGATCGGGCAGGGTATTCACACGAAGGTTGGAGTGCAACTCCCGCGAGGTCAAATTCAGAATTCAGCATCGTCGTTGACATATGCGTGGCCGGAAGCCAGCCTCATCCCGCACATTACGCGTATGTTGAATTTGGTTTGAATTGTCTTAATCCCTGGCCCAATCTGAACTCATCCGGCTAAGTAGCCCCGTAATCGGGTCTATTTGTTCTTTTCCGTTCTTGCGAAGATCTCCCAGAAGTCGCCTCACAACGAAGGTCGCCCAGGCGGTTGCCTACACCCTCGGTGTGGACCTCAAGTATGTCCAGGTGGCCGACACGGAGACCTCCAAAACGCCCGGCAACGCTTGCACAGGGGGTTCGGGCACCTCGGAGAGCTGCTCCCAGGCTGCAATCAACGCGGCCCAGGTGCTAAAAGACAGGCTGGCCAGCTACCGCACGGGAGGAAAGTCCTGGCCAGAGGCAGCGATGGCGGCCGCTCAGGCGAAGGAGAACCTCTCGGCAGAGGGTTTCTTCAAAGGCGCAGCGAGCGCCGAGAACGCGCACACGTACGCGGTGTACGGCGCAGGCATGTCCGAGGTCGAGGTCGACGTGCTCACAGGTGAGATGGAGATCCTTCGGGTTGACATTCTGATGGACCTGGGACGCCAGTTGAATGCTGCGGTGGACATCGGCCAGCTGGAGGGCGGCTTCGTCATGGCGTTGGGCTACTTCTTCACCGAGGAGCTCAAGTTCGACGAGCAGGCCCGCCCCCTGAATCTGGGCACGTGGGAGTACAAGATCCCGTCGGCATTTGACATCCCGCGCGAGTTCAACGTCTCAATCATGAAGCCCGTCCTCAACCCGAGCGGTGTTCTAGGGTCAAAGGTGCCTTCCCCCGTGCTCGCCTTTCAGGAGGAGGAGGAGGAGGAGGAGGAGGAGGAGGAGGAGGAGGAGGAGGATCGGGAGCCTTGATACGGGGGTCAATGCAAACGGGGGTCAGCCAGGGCACCGGATCCTGCAGGATCCTGCGAAGACCCCCTCTGGCTGACCCGTATTTGCGAGCGGCTCGTGGCCGCGAGGCGGCCGCGCATATTGGCTGACCCGGGTTTGCGAAGACCCGCGTGCGTTGCAGTTTTTCTTTCCTGCATTTCAGTTTTTTGGTTTCCCGCTGACCCGTGGCTGGATTGACCCCGGTCAGGAGATCCCCAACTGAGGAGGGCGTGGGATCTTCACGAGGTGTGGTAGTCTAATGCGCGCCTACCCCGTTCAGCTCCGCGGGACAGCACGCGGCCCGCGTCGGCCATCGCTGCACCTCCTGCGCCGCGTCGCAGGGCTGCGGCGGCGGAGCACGCGCTGGCGCCGGTACACGTTCCGAGGATCACGGAGGAGGAGGAGGAGGAGGAGGAGGAGGAGGAGGAGGAGGAGGAGGAGGAGGAGGAGGAGGGGGAGGGGGAGGAGGGGGAGAGGGGTGGGAGTCGAAGAAGCAAAAACTCAGAGAAGGAAAAGGTACCCATACCTCTACCCCCTCGCCCGTTTTTCCCTCTTTGGGCCTCTTTGGAGGCCCTCGTCGCCACCGCTGGATTCGCCTCGAAATCCTGGTCAGAACGCAACCCGGGAGAGGTCCAGGGGGAATCGGTATCGGTACCTGTTGGTTTCCCCCAAAACGGCATAAACATAAACGTTTGGCGCTCCGCGCGGATTTCGTGGATCTGCGCTGGTCCCCCCCCCCCCACAGCGCCTCCAGCGCCGCCCCTGGCGCGCTCCGCGCGCCAGGGACCGGGGTCCAGCGCAGATCCAAGAAATCCGCGCGGAGCGCCAGCAGTGTATACTTGTTTGTTATGCCGTTTTGGCTTCTAGGGAGGCAGAGAGGATACCAAGGCGGCCAGGCAGCAGTCCGGCCCTCGGCCTTGCGCTCTCGATTCTGTACCCGAGCGCCGCGCCGAAGTCTGGCGCATGGCTCATATTTCACTGCACCTGGAAGGTCAGTGTGTGCGTGTGCGTGTGCGTGTGCCGCCGCGCGCGCTGTCTGTACGCTTTCTCCTCCTCGTAGCCGTGCGCGAGGCCGCTACCGCCAAACAGTGCGTGTGTGTGTGTGTGTGTTTGTGCGTGCACCCTTTGTTATCTATTCTAATCCGCTGCCCTTTCGGCCCAGGCGTTGACACATGATGGGCTGGGGGAGAACATCACCGCTCGTCTCAATCTTCCTCAGCATGGGGGAAATGGGTCCTAAGGGAAAGGAGTCCCAGACCCTGGGGACTTCAGGAAGAGTTTTCTGACTGTCCCGGGGATCCCGTGGTGGGCCCCGAGAGCCCGGAAACGGCGAAAACCTTGAGGACCCGTTTCTCTCAGGACCCATTTTTATCCTCTGCGATTTTACGGGCTTCGGGCAGGCTCTTCCTTGCGTTGCACCTTCGGGGGACGTCGTGTGTCCCCCAAATTGGTGTCTCCTCTTGCAGCCGATGCGGGCGCGATGCGGATTCGACGCGGCTTTGGCGTGGATCCGACGCGGATCCAACATGGATCCGACGCGGATCCGACGTGGCCGATACGGATTCGACACGGATTCGACGCGGATGGGGGCGCGACGGGACAGACGAGGCCCCCCGAAGATGCAACATAACCTGTTTTTGGGAAGCCAAGGGTACCGATACTGGCACTCCCCGGACCTTCAGGGGTGCGTTCTGACCATTATTTCGAGGCGAGTCCAGCGGTGGCGACAAGTGCCTCCCAGGAAGCCGAAGGCGGGGGCACACGGGCGAAGGGTAGCAGTTTAAGGTGTACTTTAGGGAAACAAGAAGTGACATAAACATAGAAACTCGGAGGTCCGCGTGGATTTCTCGGATCGGCGCTGGGCTCCCCCCGGGCGGCGCCTCCGGCGCCGCCCCTGGCGCGCTCCGCGCGCCGGGGAGGGCGGTCCGACGCCGATCCGAGAAATCCGCGCGGACCTCCGAGTTGTTATGCTTGTGCCACTCTTTGTTCCCCTACACCTTAGGCGATGCTTAAGAAAACCTAAGTTTTCGGCCAGAGTCTCGATTATTCTTAACTTGTCAATGTAAATCCCAAGATTTTGATAGAAGTTCTGGGTTTTTATTCCAGTTCTGAGACTCTGAATTTCTTAACCCATGGTTTCTTAAGCATTTCGCAGGGTGTAGTGTTCGCTCCTCCTCTGCCGCCCTCCCTCGCGCGGGGCGGCGCGGGGCGGAGCGCGGAGCCGCCGGCGAGGCGTGCGCGGAGCCCGTGATGCCCCTGGCCGCCTCCGCGTACTTCGCGGTGAAGCAGGCGGTCGGCGCCGCGAGGAGCCGCGCGGCGCCGCGGCTCGGCTCGGGCGGCGGCGGAGCGGCCGGGCTCGCCTGTGGGCTGAAGTCGGGCATGTCCCCCCTTGGGCGGCGCCTCCTCCACCTCCTCCTCCTCCTCCTCCTCCTCCTCCTCCTTGCCCCTCTCCTCCTCCTCCGCCTCCTCCTCCGCCTCCTCCTTGCCCTCCTCCTCCTCCTCCTTGCCCTTCTCCTCCTCCTCTGCCTCCTCCTCCTCCTCCTTGCCCTCCTTCTCCTCCTCCTCCTCCTCCTTCTCGCCCTTCTCCTCCTTGCCCTCCTCTCCTCCTCCTCCTCCTCCTCCTCCTCCTCCTACTCCTCCTCCTCCTCCTCGTCTACAGGAGGACTACCTAGAAAGAGTACAAAGTAGGCTGGGGACGTTTTTTTTCTCGACGATATCCTTTAACATGTTTCAAGTATTGCTTGATCTGTCCTCCAACGCTCGCCTGTAGGAGGACAGGCCCGACCTGAGCCGAAATGCCTACCAGAGCATGTTCCAAGGACCTTTTTTGTGGTCTGCGCGAAATGTGCTCAGAAGAGTTCTGGCCCGAGACTGTCTTGCAACTAATTCGGCGCATCTTCTAAGAGCCCGGTTTTGGTGAGAGCGATTAGAGATGTAGGATTGAGACTGTCTTGTTTTGATGCATCTGGTTTATGGTCTCAGACTAGTGTCTTTGTGATTCGAACATTTCTGGGTTCTAAGATCATGTCGTGGTAGGCCTACAGTCATGCCGAGGCAATCGGTCACTGCTCAAGTGAAGAAGGCTCAGAGGAGGAAGAGGTACCCGTACCGCTACCCTTCCCTTGTTGTCCCCCTTTTTGGGCCTCTTGGGAGGCCCTCGTCGCCACGTTTGGGTTCGCTTGGTCGAAGCGTACCCTGGGAGGGGTCCGGGGAGTAGCGATATCGGAGCCTTGCGGTTTCCACACGAGCGTGTCCCGAGAGAAATTGGTCTTGAGGTTTCCATGGTTTTTGGGCTTCCACGGGCGCAAGGGATGTCAGCGAGAGGCTCAGGATGAAGAGCTGGTCCTGTGGGAATGCCACGGGGTCCAAGACCCCGCTTCCTTGTGCCATGTTTGGCCGCGCGTTTGAAACAATTTTTGTTTCCACGGCTGCCTGTGGATGCAGCTCTCTCGCGCCCCTCCTTGGGGCCGGGCGGCCTAGAGCTGGGGCCTCGGAGGCGACGACACGAAGATCCAACTTCCCACTGGTCCCGTGGGGACCCTCGCCCAATCTTCACTTGCTTCTCCTCCTCCTGCTCCTCCTCCTCCTCCTGCTCCTCCTCCTCCTCTTCCTCTTGCTCCTCCTCTTCCTCCTCGTCCTCGTCCTCCTCCTCCTCCTCCTCCTCCTCCTCCTCCTCCTCCTCCTCCCCGTCTTCCTCCTCCTCCTCCTCGTCCTCCTCCTCCTCCTCCTCCTTCTCCTCCTCCCTCTGGATGCCTCCCCTTCTGGCCCCGCCTCCACCTTCGGCCGCGGAACGCAGCGGCCACCCGTCTCGCAAGCCGCGCCCTCCCCCCACTCCTACCCTGCAGCAATTATCCGCAGCGCTGCTTTTTCGCTATGTAACCTGTCCCCACCCTCAGCTCGAGAGCTCGCGACGTCTCGGTGCGCTTAGGTCACGCAACAGCCGCGGCTCCGCAGCGCCCAACCTAGTTGCGCGGGGGATGGCGCGGGCGCGGGGGGGGGGGGGGGAAATCGCCGCCAGCCGCCCAGGCGTCGGCCAGGGCGGTCGCGACCAGCAGCGCCGCCAGCTAAAACTTCTGCCAGCTGACCTTGCCGCCAGCAGCGCCGACTCCAAACATTCCTTCGCGACGCTGCTCTCACGCAGCCCCGCCTCATGTTGTTTCTACCCATCTACAGTGGAGGCCCTCCAGGCGGGGGTGGACGCCGTGCCCCGAAGGTTTCTGCCGGTCTGGGAAGAGGCCCTCTGTGCCTTTCGTGTGTTCCTGGGCTGGGCACCTGGCCCGGCCACGCGACTGCGACCCGGACCGGCTCACGGCCGCTGTGCTGCAGCGCAGGAGCTGCAAGCTGCAAGGGGGGCCAAGGGCTCCCACGAGGGCGCGAAGTCATTCGCACTTCGCGCTTCGCGGTCCTCGTTCCTTCTCCCCCTCCTCCTCGTCCTCCTTTTCTCCCTTTGGGGGGGCGGCGCGAGAGTGCGAAGTTATTCGCGCTTCGCGGGGCGCGAAGCGCGAAGTTGGGAGCCCTAGGGAGCTGGGACAGAGCTCGACGCAACGGGGGCAAGCGGATGCGCGGGCGGAAGGTCCGCGCCTGGCGCTGGGAGTACACCGTCGACAGCTGCTTCGAGGGATCAGAGTGGCAGGCAGTGGCTCTGAGCAGATCGTCTTGGCATACCTTGTTTCGTTCGTCCAGTGGAAGACTTGCAGCAAGTAGTGACATCGTTCCTAGAGGGTGACGGGGCGGGACGTAACAGCAGCGAGTAGTCGGCCGGCACTGCCTTCTGGTAGGGACTCGCTGAACCAAACCAACAACAGTTGTGCAATTTCTCCTGTGGCCATTCCGGCTACGGCCGCGCCCGCCAAGCAACGGCCGCTACCCATGCGCAGCAAGATCTGCCTAAAGACCACGCTGCTGCACCGCAGGCCGTGTGGGGCGGCGGGCATCCGCTGGGTGTGCGTGGCAAGGCAGCTTGATGTGTGGCCACCGCCGCAGCAGGGCACAGATCTCCCCGCGTCTGGTGAAGCCCCCCATCCACCGGGCCGCCAGTCCCTCCCTGGGGCCGTCTGCGCCGACGTTGGCGCGTAAGCTGCGCGCGTAAGGTCGCGCGTGAGCGCCCGCGTCTCCAATGTGGCGTGCCGCGCTGGCGGCCCGCGTAGTCCGCCGCGTAAGGTCGCGGTGTCTTCTCACGTAGGATCCGTTTTCCATTGTCGCACTGGCTTTACGTCGGGACTGTCCCTCTACAGGAGGAGTATGTAAAAAGAATGAAACATGGTCTGAGGATCATTTTCCGAGCATTTCTTGACACTTGTTGATTATTGGATGCGTATTGATGATTGTTCGTCGAACATCCGCTTGTTAGGGGGACATGCCCGACCTAACCTTGGCTGGACCGGGGGTCGGGTGAATGTGGGGCTTTTTAAAAGGCCAGGGGGGGAGAGGTGCGACGCTGCCTTCGCCATTCCGCGCCTGGGCGCCGCCGTTTTCGCCCTCCTTCGCTGCCGCCGCTGTCGCCAAACGCTTTGCACGTTCTCGCTCCGCTCTCCCCGTCCGAGGTTCTGATCTCGCGTGCCCCTCTTCTTCCTCCCCCCCCAGGCCGCCGGGGACTGAAGCAACGCTCCCCTGGGGGGGTCGGCTGGTCGATGCCCCTCTCTTTCGCCAGAGGTCAGTCGTCTGGTTGGGGCCCGTGCCCCTGGGCGGGGGGATGGACTCGGCAGACTGATTCCGTGGCTCACCTCTCGGAGCTCGAAAAGGGGGGCCGACAGGGTGGGCCGCGGGGCGCAGGCGGGCGCGCGCGAAGGAACCGGCAGGGCGAGAGGGAGGAGCCGCGCAGGGCAAAGAGCCAGGGGGAGGGGGGAGGGATCGGGAGGGGAAGGAGGAGGAGGAGGGAGGAGGAGGAGGGAGGAGGGATCGGGAGCAGGAGCACCTCAGAGGGGAAGGAGGAGGAGGGAGGAGCTCCTCCTCCTCCGCCTGTTCGGTCTGTCGGTCGCACGGCGCGGAGGCTCGCAGCCGAAGCTGGACCGGGGCAGAGCAGCGGGAATGGAAGGGCGTTCTGTCCTGCCTGCTTGCCTGCTCTCCTTCCCCCCCCTCCTCCTCCTCCACCTCCTCCTCTCCTCCTCTCCTCCTCCCCCTCCTCCCTCCCTCCTCCTCCCCTCCTCCTCCTCCTCTCCTCCCTCCTCCTCCTCCCTCCTCCGCCTCCTCCTCCTCCTCCTAGTCCTCTTCCTCCTCGTCCTCCTCCCCCTCCTCTCCTCCTCCTAGTCCTCTCCCTCCTCGTCCTCCTCCCCCTCCTCCTCCCCCTCCTCCTTCCCGTCCTCCTCCCCCTCCTCCCCCATCCCCCTCCTCCTCCCCCTCCGCCTGCGAACAAAAAGTAAACGACAATCGTGCACGTGCCGAGAGGCAGGCGGATGGGGAGAGAGGCCAGGACGGGCCCGAGCTCGCCGGACCCGCGCCGCCTCGAGAGGAGGGGGGAGGGCACTTCGGCAGCCAGGGCCGCCACGGAGAGAAAGGCCATGCTAATCGGGCGAAGAGAATTATCGGGGGAGAAAAAGATACGGATACGTGTTGTCCCCCGTCGTTTTCGGCCTTTCCTAGTCCTCCTGGGGAATCCTCGTTGTCACCGCTGGATTCGCCTCGAAATTCTGGTCAGAACGCACCCCAAGAGAGGTCCGGGGACAACACGTATCCGTATCTTTCCGCCCCCCAAAATTATGCACATGCACCGATCCTGGCAAGGCCCATCCTTGACCCATGATCGGTGCATATGCCTTCCTGGCCAAGGTCGGAGGGCGTGTGCACCGATCCTGGGCTTAGTATGGGCCTGGCCAGGATCGGTGTCTGTGCATCGTTCTGTTTCCTCTAGCTAAGAGGAGGAAGAGATCCCCTCAGCTCTGCCTTTCCCTCGCTTTACCCCTGTTGGGCCTGCTGGGAGGCCCTCGCCGCCACCGCTGGATTCGCCTCGAAAGCCTGGTCAGAACGCACCCCAGGAGAGGCCCGGGGAGTCGCGACATCGGTACGCTGTGGATTCCCCACACGGGGCGCGCCGACGCGCCGGCGCGCGAGGAAGCAGCTCGGCCTGGGCGACGGCTTCTTCGATCTGCCCGTGCCGGTGGGGCCCCGGGCCGCCATGAATCAGGAGCGAGAGGAGGACGTATACTCACACGAGTCCACGTCGGTTTGGGGTTTGTACGCCTTGCGCGAGCCTTCGTACCCCTCGGTTAGTTTCGTGGACCGGGAGGGCGTGCTCCTGCACGTGGGTGGGCGCGTGCGTCTTTTGTGGGCTCCCTGGGTGAAGGGAGGGGCGGAGGGTCGCCGTGGAGGGAGGGGGTCCTATAAGGGGCGGGGGGGGGGAGCCTGCCCTCCGTTGCCCGTCTCGCTTGCGCTCTTGGGAGGGGGCGGCGTGGAAGCGGACGGGGTCCTGAGGGCTCTGGTCCCGTCACGAGGCGGCTCGGGATGAACAGTTGGTGGCGGGAAAGAAGCCTCCGGGACCCAGGACGCTCTTGCTTCGGGATCCATCTCTCATGGCAGGTGGTGAGCCTGGAGAACCGGCATGGTAATGGAAAGCATGGGGACAGCGACCGACAACAGTTCCCTCCTACTTGCTGTCGATGTCCCCGCGGAAAAATTTACCATTTGGGGCAGTCGTCAGCCCAACCGCCGCCGCTGTCGGTTTGGAGTAACGTTTGCTGTTTGGCATCGTCCCCGTTCTGTCCGTGTCTATTTTGGGCGTGCCAAGAGGAGGAAATTCGAGGAACCTCAAACACATAAACATACGTTTTTGGAGGTCCGCGCAGATTTCTTGGGACCGCGCTGGGCCGTACTCTCGTTGGCGAGCGAAGCGAAGTGGAAGGACAAGAACCACACTTCCGCGTGTGTGGTATGAGAGAATCGGTTCATGAGAGGCACCAGCCAAAACCCTGCAGCTTCCTCCAGCCCTTTCTTCACGTTGAGTCGTTCTCATGACGCTCCTGGATCTCGCGGAGGGCCCAACGGGGGTCGAACGCGGCGACCATCGTATGAGGACCCCTCTCGTCCTCCCTCTTGTGGTGTTCGCCTTGTTGTATCGTCTGCGTCGGCCCGATGAGCGGCCTTGCCCCGCTCGCTTCCACTGCCAGGGAGGCGCGCGGGGCGGGCCCCCGCCCGCTCGCCCCTCCACGGGCCCCGCCGCACCGCTCGGCCGCCTCTGCGGCCGGGCCTGCTGCCGTCTCCCGCCCGGCTGCCTCGTGTGGATCCATTCTGAGACTGCGTATGGTTTTCCACATGTCTCGGGGGCCAATGTTTTCCTTCCCGCCCGCGTCGCACCCGCGTCTTCCTCACACCTCCCCTCCCCAGCCTTCCCTACCTCTCCTCGTCACTGCTCCACGCTCGACATACACGCAATACATCTGCACACGCACACACACAAATAAAACACCTCCTCCTGCCGCATCACACGCACCAGACGCATGCAACACACGCGCGGCGGGCTCGCAAAGCAAGGCAAGCGCTGCATTTCCTCAACGCCACGGGGAGTGCGCGGGGGGGTGGGTGGGAGCGCAATTCCTGTCGGGCTCGCGAGGCGTGGCAGGCTTTGGACTTCGTCGACACCAGGAGGGGGTGTGCTGTGGGTGGGAACGCTATCCATTTCGGGTTTGCACAACGTGGCAGGCATGGCATTTCCTCGACACCACAGGAGGTGAGCTCGGGGTGGGAGCGCAATCCGTGTCGGGCTCGCAAGGCGTGGCAGGCGTGGCACATCCTCAACACCACACGGGGTTAGCTGCGGGTGGGTCCGCCATCGGTTTGGGGTTGCAAAGCGTGGCAGGCGTGACACTTCGTCGACACCGCAGGGGGCGCGCTCGGGGTGGGAGCGCTATCCGTGTCGGGCTCGCACAACGTGTGGCAGGCGTGCAGTTCTTCGACACCGCGGGGGGCGCGCTCGGGGTGGGAGCGCTATCCGTTTCTGGCTCGCACAACGTGGCAGGCGTGCAGTTCTTCGACACCACAGGGGAAGCGCTGGGGGTGGGAGCGCTATCCGTTTCGGGCTCGCAAGGCGTGGCACGCGTGGCACTTCCTCGACACCACAGGGGTCGCGCCCGGGGGGGACGCTATCCGCTTCGGTTTCGCAAGGCGTGGCAGGCGTGGCAGTTCTTCGACACCACAGGGAATGGGCTGGATGTGGGAGCGCTATCCGTGTCGGGCTCGCAAAATGTGGCAGGCCTGGCACATCCTCAACACCACACGGAGTGCGCTCGCCGTGGGAGCGCTATCCGTTTCGGGCTCGCAAAGCATGGCAGGCGTGGCACTTCCTCGCCGCCACAGGGGTGCGTTGGCGGTGGGAGCGCTATCCGTTTCGGGTTCGCAAGGCGTGGCAGGCGTGGATCTTCGTCGACACCACAGGGGGTGAGCTCGGGGTGGGCGCGCTATCCGTGTCGGGCTCGCAAGGCGTGGCAGGCGTGGCAGGCGTGGCACATCCTCAACACCACACGGGGTTAGCTGCGGGTGGGACCACTGTCCGTTTCGGGTTCGCCAAGCGTGGCAGGCGTGGCACTTCGACACCGCAGGGGGCGCGCTCGGGGTGGGAGCGCTATCCGTTTTTGGCTCGCACAACGTGGCAGGCGTGCAGTTCTTCGACACCACAGGGGAAGCGCTGGGGGTGGGAGCGCTATCCGTTTCGGGCTCGCAAAGCGTGGCAGGCTTGGCACATCCTCGACACCACAGGAGGTGCGCTGGGGGTGGTTTCCCTATCCGGTTCGGGCTCGCGAAGCCTGGCAGGCGTGTCCCTTCCTCTTCACAGGGGGGTAGTCTCTGAGCGCGGCATCGGCTCTTTGCGCGACGTGGAAGGCCCAGCCAGCTGGTGGGGTCGAAGTGGCGGTTAGCCAGTAACGCCCAGGCTTTTGCCGTTCCTGGACCCCCTCAGGGTACTCAGGCTTCCGAGGCTTGACCGGCGCCACCAACGGTATCGGCGAAACAACGGCCACATGCATCATCCTTGCAAGTTTCACGTCAGTTATCATCACGCCAGACGTGTTGTAAGTATGCGGGTTTCTTCGGTCGCGTTTTTGTTGTGTTTTCCATGCATTTGGAGGGTCTTTAACATGTCGTGGTAGGCCTACAGGAATGCCGGGACGGCCGGTCCCTGCTCAATCTTGCAGCCCCCCTCCCGCGCCCGCCTGGCCTCAGTCCTTGGATGCGGACGTGATTCAGAGCCCCGAATCATCAGGGGTAACTCGGGTCAGGGCTAACTCGGGTTCGTTTTTCGGGATTCCGAACCCGAGTTGTCCCGGACCCGAGTTACCCCGGATAACTCGGGCGCCCAGAGCCCCGAATCATCAGGGGTAATTCGGGTCAGGGTTAACTCGGGTTCGTTTTCCGGGAACCCAAACCCGAGTTACCCCGGACCCGAGTTACCCCGGATAACTCGGGCGTCCAATAAGTCCTTGGATGTGGACGTGATGCCGTCCCGCGTCCACTGCCCTGGTACCGCAGCCCCGGCTGGCCGCCCCGGCGCGCTCGCCATGAGTTCCCGTTTGGGCGTTGCGTAATGGGGGGGTCATACATGGGGGGGTGGCGAGAGTGGTCCGCAAAGGTACCCAAACGGTACCTAAACGAGCCCCCTGGGGGTCCGGAGGGGCCCGAAAGGGGCACGAAAGGGGACCGTTTCTGACCCCCCCCATTTATGACCCCCCCGTTAAGCCACGCCCAACGCTCGCCATGAGTTCCCGTTCGCGTGTGAGTGCCCCCCCCCCGTGCTCTCTTCGCTGCCGCCCTGCCTTCCCGCGTCCCCTCTCTCGCATCCGGACACTTCGCTTTGTCGTGTGTTCAACGGCGCCGTAACGGGTACTTCCTAACGGGTACTTTGAATTTTTGCCGAAAGTTGCCACTTTAGGGCCTTTTTGTGGCGTTGCAGCGTCGCCCACATCGGGGAGGGTTGGGTTCGCTGGGTCACTGGCCAAAGTACCCGTTAGTGGAGTCCCCGTTTGAGGGGCGCTGATGTGTCCCCACGGCCACTGCGAGCGCCCGTGCGGATGACCTCTGCCGTGCCGCGACGGAAGAAAGCGTCGGGACGATGCGGGATTCCCCCGCGGCGCCGCATCTCGTTCTCTCCCGCCCAGAACAGCCAATTTCGACCGTCACGCTGCCCATTCTCGCTGGTACTTCTCCTCGCTTCGAGCTCCTTTTGTTTTTCCTCCTCTCTCCGTGCTGTTGGTTGGCGGCGAGCCTCCGTGGTCCGAGTATCGGCCACGCGGCAGGGACAGTTGGCGACACCACTCCCGTTCCGCATTCCGTGGCGTTGATTCGTTCCGTTCTTGCCATTGTGGGGCCGAAATTGTGTGGGATTCGTGTTGCACTCTTGTTGCATACCCTCGGACCTGTCTCTTCCCGCGACGTGCGAGGTGATTGCCTCTCTCCCCTGTCGAAGAGGAGACCAGCGCACTAGCATGATGTTTCGACCTCCGCGCGGGGATCTTGGATCAGCGCTGGGCCCCCCAGAAAATATGTGAAACTATGGGAAGTGGGGGGGAAGACAAAACACATAACATATGCGAAAATACGGGGAATCTTGTTATTCGTGTCTATTTATTTGTGTGTCCTAGGGCCTCTTCAATCCAAGAATCCAAGAAGGCCGCGCGGAACGTTAAAAGTTTATGCTCGTGCCAGTCATATTCGGTTGCACATCGTGAGAGCCGTGTATGTCCTTGCAATTCCGTCTTCAGCGTCGGTTAGCATGTGGGAGTCGATGATATGTGCCGATTTAGCTTCGATTCGCGTCGATGGAGCGCCGTTCTAGCGTCGTAGAGCGTCGATGTAGCGTCGATTCACGTTGATTCTCAAGAGCGGACAAGATGGTATGGGAGGCCCCCGTAAGTTGCCACCGAAGTTTTCGCTCCTTTCCTTCACGTCCTCCCCTCTGTGGGGGGGGGGGAGCGACGTTGCGCGTCGGGCTGCGCCAGGGGGGGGGGCAGGCGACAGTGGAGTGCATCCAGCAGGCGTGCGCGCCGCAGGGCGGGGGCGGCGTGCCCACCGGCCTGGGCGCGTGAGGGCGCGTCGGGGGCCGCATCAGGCAAGCCCGTGCAAACGGGGCGTTCGCAAACGAGCCGGTAGCTGAGGGTGCGTTTTCAAGCCAGACCCCCTCGAGCAAGGAAGAAATCATGATGGGAGGGTTTCCACAATTTTCGGCCTGGGGGTCCTCGCCGAGCCTCTTGGACCGTCAAAAAACGATTCAGGATCAGAAGCCAGTCCGGGGGATTGAGCCGAGACCTCTGGGGGTCGACATTCTGATAAGATCCTGATGTCGGGGGTCTTGGAAAATGGTGGCCGCGCGCAGGGGCGAGGTAAACCCCCCCTCGCGCAGAGTTAGGATGCTGTATCGGCGTTTCTGTCGTCCCAGTTTCATAGGGCGACGAGATCTATACATATCCACTGCTCCTGGCCAGGCCCATCCTGGGCCCAGGAGCTGTGTATATGCCTCCCTGGCCAGGCCAGGAGGGCGTATACACCGCTCCTGGGCCCAGGATTGGCCTGGCCAGGAGCAGTGGATATGCATAGATCTCGTCGCCCTATTTCGCACACACATGCACTCGTGCGAGGTGAGTGCCCTGTCGCCTCATTCTCGCCTGAAGAGGCCCCCTGAGCTACCGCCCCGTTGACGAGCGCCCTGTTGGCAGGGGGGCTTGGAGAGGGGGGGGCGGCGGGCTCTCGGCCACGCGCAGAGGGTGCAGAGGGTGCCGGGGGAGGCTCTTCAGAAGCACCCCTGCATTGTAGGAGGAGGAGGAGGAGGAGGAGGAGGAGGAGGAGGAGGAGGAGGAGGAGGATGTAGGGCTGGCGCCTCCCAAGGGGGCCCCCCCGCCTGCTCGGAAGGTGCCTCTTCCCCGCCCGAAAGGCCCCCTCTGCGCGCCCCGCCGAGCATGGGCTCAGGAGGGGCTGCAGCGACCCGCAATCGCCCACTCGTCGCCGACTGGGGCCCGATGAGCCCACTCCGCCCAGGATCGTGCGGAGTCGCCATCGAGGGCCTATCGGCGATCTATCTGCGGTAGCTCGCCGATAAACGGTTCCCCCCTCCTGAGCTCGGGGGCGGCAAAGAGGGGGGTGATGACTAGGGGGGTGGGTGGACATCACGGCGTGGGCCATGATATTTCCCCAGATCTTATGGCGCCTCTGCCTACTTCGTCACGTCCCTGGCCCCCCCCCCCCCTCTTGGGCACCCCCCCTCTCGGCCGCGCACGTGCCGCCGGTCATGATCTGCGTCCCCCCCTCTTGGACACCCCCCTATTGGCCGCTCCTGGTGAGCTGGCCCCCCCCATCGTTTCCCCTCGGGGTGCCGCGGCGAGTCGCGAGGGCGGCTCTTTTCCCCCCGCGGGCGCCGCCCGGCGGGAGGCCGGGCGGCGCAGGGCGGCCCGCGGAGGCTGCTCCGCGCCTGCGCGTCGGCCTGCTCGCCCTCGTCCTCCCCGGCTTCGGCCAAAGAGCGAGTAGGAGGAGGAGGAGGAGGAGGAGGAGGAGGAGGACAAGTGTAAACTCAAGAGGCATCAACGACGTTGCAATGCACCCTCCTTCCAAGTTCCCCCATCCACAGCTCCGTGCTTACAGGGGGTTCGTTCATCGCGGTAGCTGCTCCACTGGAAGGCAACCGTCTGAGAATCTTCAGTCGAACCACAGCACCGTTTCTGAGATTTCAACGCCGCGAATCAGCGTTATTGTTGCGTCCTGCCGATCCTGCGTCGTGTTAAAGCACCACTCCTGATATTTCAACACACCGAATCAGAATGACTGTTTCGTCCTGCCGATGCTGAATCGTGCCAGAACACCGCTCGTGAGACTTCAGCACCGAATCAACGTGATTGTTGCGTCATCCCGATGCTGAATCTTGCCAGAACGCAGCACCTGGGACTGCAACCGTACGAATTATTGAAGGCGCCGTGGACTTGTAAGACGAATGCGTGCGGCGCTACAGCGAGAGTCACATGGTGATCATTCATCGCCATACAGTGACGAAGCCCAGCCCACCCTGCCGACACGTCTCGGCGTGCGACTGGGAGGAGTTCATTGGAAGGAAAATAGATGGAAGGTCGAGGAGGAGGAGGAAGATGATGGGCATCGGTTTGTTGACCAGGACTCGATCAGGCCGCCGATCAGGGCGATCCCCGATCGGCGGGGGGGCCCTTGGAGGGACCACGGGCCAAGATTGCGATCAGGCCCTGCCAGGCGTCAATTCCTCCCCCGCGACCCCGCGAGGGGGGGAGGGATCTCAGACGAACATCGGAGATGGGCCCGTTGAGACTCGTCGCCACCGCTGGACGCATGCCAGAAAACTGGTACGTTTGCACCCCCGGAGGGTTCCGATAACGGATTTGCAGATGCCGTTCTCTCGACTCGCCGTGCTCATCCGTGCGGGTTTCTTGGATCGGCGATGTAAATCCCCCCGGCGCGCCTTGCTGCCCATGCAGAGGGGCCTGGCGTCGAATCGTAAAATCCTCGACGAGGAGGAGGCGGAGGAGGAGGAGGACGACGACGACGAGGCTGGAGGGGCGCAGGGGAGGGGGAACAGGTGACGAGGTGGAGTGCCAACGAGGAGTCAGAAAGAGCACAACGTGGAGGAGGAGCAAGGGGGAGGAGAAGGAGGAGAAGGAAGAGGGAGACGACAGTGCCGAGGGAGGAAGGACGAGTTCGGCGATGCTTCTCAACGCTTGGGGCCCCCTGGGGGTCGCGTCACCACGACTGAATTTCCAGCGCGCCCCAGGAGAGGTCGAGAGGGTGATTTTACGCAGCACCCCTACCACGGCCGCAGTCTACCAACACGACAACTTGGTGTCGGAAAGGGCTCGGGCGACTTTGTGCAGCTGTTCCCTTGGGTCTCTTACTTGGAGATCCTCGCACCTCGGGGCGCAACTGAGGCCAACGAGGGGCTTCATTCCGTATGCAAATGCAAGATTCCCGTGTCAAGGTTTTAATTGCCGTGCGTGTTTTTCTTCTGCCATCGTTGTAGAGTAACGCGGGCTGAGGTCTCTCAATCCGAAATCGTACCATTAGCAGCAAAGCCTTGTTCGTTGCAGCCTGAAGAAGTTGTGCTATCTCGGGTGGAGGAGCAGGCTGGGACGGCAGAGAATTGACGGCCACCACGGCCACCACTGAGAGCGAGAGGAGGGTACATACGACAGGTGCGTGCCGTCCCGACGCGGCAGCGACCCGCCCCCCCGCGGGCGTTCAAGGTTGAACGCCGCCAGCGGCCCAGAACTGGGCAATGTAGAACGATCTGGCGATCGAAACGCCGCCGATCGTTGGAAGGTTGGACGATCCACGCTGTGTCAGCAAACCAACGCCGGGATCGTAACGGCACGAACCTGCCGAAAAGAGACTGAGTGGAGTCGGGGGGACATGCGGCTCGGCCGGCCCCCGTCACCATCCGCTCCGCCTGGAGCTCGGGCGCCTCTGAACCGTGCGCTGACCACACCGTGTGGTGCGTCAGTTGGGGTTCGGGGTCGCCACACACTGTTTGGGGGACTTGGGTCGTGCTCTCGGGACGGCTTGGGCAGCCGGGGCCTCCGAGGCTTCAACACCTCGCGCTGACGGGCCGCACGGCGAGGTCAGCACGCAGTCCGTCATTTGGATGCGGTCAGGGAGTCTGGGCTGGTGGGGCCTTCTGTCGGACGGGGCTAGGACGAAGGCAACTCCGTCCCAGAGCGTTAGGGAAGGCTCCTAGATTGTTCCGGAACGCTCTGAGAAGGCCGCGGCGCTCGAGACATCCTCCAGAAACACCAGATCTTGGGGACTCTTTATCCGTAAGGGCTTGGCCCCCTGCCGCCGGCCCCCTCTCTCGGAGAATGGGCCATGGAAGAGCTAAGTCATGAGGCTTTGGCGCTGTCGTGCAGCAGTATCGGAACTTCATGCGAGGCCGATTCGCAATCGGCAAAACCAACTGATCACAAGAGGGGTTACCACACAGGGCGATTGGTAAGACGTGTATGGTTTACGAGCTTGGTTACCACACCTTGGGATTAAAGGGCCGAGGGAGTACTCGCAGTTTGGGTTACCACGCCTTGCGATGGATGTGCGTGAGGGGTGGCACCGAATTTCAGAAATGTGGCAAATCCCTGTGTTTTTGGACCCTGACCCCGCGGATCTGCGTGAGGGGTGGCACCGAATTTCAGAAATGTGGCAAATCCCCTGTGTTTTTGGACCCTGACCCCGCGGATCTGCGTGAGGGGTGGCACCGAATTTCAGAAATGTGGCAAATCCCCTGTGTTTTTGGACCCTGACCCCGCGGATCTGCGTGAGGGGTGGCACCGAATTTCAGAAATGTGGCAAATCCCATGTGTTTTTGGACCCTGACCCCGCGGATCTGCGTGAGGGGTGGCACCGAATTTCAGAAATGTGGCAAATCCCCTGTGTTTTTGGACCCTGACCCCGCGGATCTGCGTGAGGGGTGGCACCGAATTTCAGAAATGTGGCAAATCCCATGTGTTTTTGGACCCTGACCCCGCGGATCTGCGTGAGGGGTGGCACCGAATTTCAGAAATGTGGCAAATCCCTGTGTTTTTGGACCCTGACCCCGCGGATCTGCGTGAGGGGTGGCACCGAATTTCAGAAATGTGGCAAATCCCTTGTGTTTTTGGACCCTGACCCCGCGGATCTGCGTGAGGGGTGTCGATTTCGAGCCCCCCCAGCAATTCAGACAACGCGCCCAGGGGACGCTAAAAGTCTTGTTTGGGCCTCCCCCCCCCTCGCGCGGTCAATCAACTAGTTACAGTAACCAGCAAGAAGTCAACTAGTTACAGCAACCAGCAAGAAGCAGAACTGTAACACTGGAAACTACAAGCTACAACTGGTACAGGAAACTGCGAACCCGCGCCTACAGCCTGGTGGCCCCACAAGGGGGCCGGCGGATTCATCATCGCCCGACTGTATCTTCGTGCTGGATTCGCCTGACCTGGCTGCCTTGCGTTGCCGGGCCGTGCGGTGAGATTCCTTGCGGTGCCGAGGTCACCGCGCGGTGTGTCGCCGCACCGCTCCGGGTCGGGTCGCCGTGGAGCTCCTCGGGGCCGCTCCCCTCCGGGCCTCTCTCGCACGCGTCACATGCTCCCGCCCACCGCGGGCCCATCCGGGCTTCCCTGGGCATGACCGCCTCCGTTCC